CGTAACGTACTCCTATATTTATATTGTATATTTTCTCGTTTAGAGAAAACTGAATACTGAATTATATTTGAGTGAAAGCCTCACTCACTTCAAACTGGTGCTCCGTTTACTGTTTATTCCCCATGATACCCACGTACAATGTAGGGGGAATGCGTGCAATATGATCCCCTTAAGGGAAAATCTTTACTATGTTCGAAGTTTTAGACAAAAACACAAGATTTACATTGTTAAGAATAGTGAATTTACTTATCTTTGTAACTGGATACTTATTTGTGATGATATGTTTTGTCATAAATCGCAATCACGTAATTTGTCATTATTTTATCTACCTAGAATAACAACTAATTATGCACGTAATAGCTTTATATACCGTTCTTGCAGATTGCATAATGAAATATTTAATGACATAGATTTATTTTCCCTTTCTTTAAATAAGTTCAAAATTTTAACCAGAAGTGTCTGTTCGTGATTTCCCCGTTTTTTTTTGTTATATACTTTAATTTTTATTTTAATAAGCTAACATATACCTACCTTAAGAATGTGTAAACGGTGAAGACTTAATTGGTGTATGTATTTTTTTTATTTCTTTTGTTTATAATATGTAACATAATACTGTTTGTCTTCCAAATAAATAAATAAATAAATAAATAAATAAATATTTTTAAAAAGCGTAGTAAGGGATCGTTTTATACATACATGTGTATAAAACGATCCCTGGGAAGGCTTAAAATCATTCTGCCGCGATAGTATTAGTAACATCACTAATGTCGCTAATACGTGGCGCAAATATTTATCATTGATCGAGACATACTCGTACGAGTATATGTACATTTATTGCCGCAATGATATATGCGTTTCGATAATCGTTACCTTGTGAGTCAAACAACTATCGAAGATAAATTTCCTACCTTACCTTTATTTTTTCTTTCAAATTAGATGTTTTTACATACCGATGTTACATTTTAATAATTTCTAATAAAATAAATATTTTGTAACATAATAACAATAAAAAAAAGTATAATCTGTGCTCAAATTTCGATGCCAAACTCTTATTTATTTTAAACATTTATACGGGAAAATAATATCTGTATAGGACGCTTGTTTTATTTTACATGCCTTAAAGGCCACATGAATTCTAATGTGTCACTTCACCATTCTAATTAAATGATTCTATTGCTATCCTTTTATAATCTATACATATAATAAAATTGTAACTAAGTCGAATACAGATTCGTGTATGATTCGCTAATGTACAGACATTAAATATTTTTTGGAAAATCTAATTGAAATAGACATTATTATCGATACAGAGTCCGAATCTATAGTTTTTAGAATTTTTGCCTGTCTGTCTGTCTGTCTGTTACCGCATCGCGAGAAAACCAGTGGACAGATTTTGATGAAATTTGGTATGGTGATAGCTGGTTATCCGGGTCAACATATAGGACTTTTTACCGCAGGAAAATATCTAATTTCTCAGAAAAAATACAAAAACTGCATTGTAAGAGTATACTAATATGTAAAACCTAAGAATTTGGTTTTTGGTCATCTGAACGCGGGCAGCCGCAGGCAATTCTAGTAAATACTAAAACTCTATGTAATTATTAGGTAACATTATATTTATCTCATATCATAACTAATACAAAACAATCCTAAACAGAGTAAACAAGAGTATTACAAAAAGTTTACTATTGAATTATACCATACGCGGTTCACACGATAAGTTAGTACGTGGTTATTTAAATGCTTAGGCTATTTGCATACATTTCACGTTCAGGTGCCGGCTACCGATCGTTCTACACACGACCCGGGCCATTTTGCCGAAAATGTGAACGTTGCGTTATTCCCCCTACTTTATTGACTTACCGCCCACTATTCTTCCTCATGGTAATTTTGCTGACTGTACAAAAGGGGACACTTTTGAAGACGGGATTAAATGAGTCACCAAATATTATGATGGTTACTAGAAATAGTCCACAATACAGTATAAAATATTAATTTATCGTATTCGTTAATTAAATAATTTTAATTAAGTATTATAATATGATAAAATAAGATAAAATTTTCATGTTAATTTTTCTCACTCACAAAGGGGACTTCTTTGAAGGCTTTATTAAATTAAATCACAAAATGTAGTGATGCTACTAGAAATATTTTTATGAACATTTTATTATGATATTATTTATTAAAATAACATACTGACTTCCTTTGGTTCAAGTTTAGTTTCAGAAACTCATAAAATACCATTCGTATCCAATGCGAATTCTTTTCTTTTTATATAATAAGTAAACTCCGTCCTTCTAGCCTATCATCTCTATCCGTCAATAACAGTCTCAATAAAATCTGTTTTGGAAGATGAGCGGTACAAATACGTAAACACTAAACATATTTATTAAAGCAATTTGAGTTTTGGTTTGTATAAATACCCATATGAACTCAACACAGATCATCTGTTTTAAAATTAGAGACATAATAATATTACGAGATAGGTACATATATTGCGAGCTATAATTTTTTACATAACATTTAAATACGAATTAGAAAATATAACATTACTTTCAAAATGCTTGTAATTACTATTTCATTAAAGTAAACTCTCTGTAAGAGAAGCCAAACCAAGTACGAGTAATATAAAATGATTTAAAATATATTCTAAGAATTTTGTACAGGTAAATTTTATTTTGTGTTCGGTGTTGCCGCTTAAGTTTGAATTTAACGGTCGGATAAAACTATTCAAGTTTTAAATTTTTTTATCGGGTGTTCAATTAGTTTTATAGTTCAAAGTTAGCATTTAAATACAAATGAACCTTTAAAGCATGACAAAGCAATAAACACACTGATTCACTCACAGACTTTCGCAATTATAATATTAGCAATGTAATAAAACAATTTTATCTTGATATACTCTATTAATTTTAATATATTAAGATTTTTAAAGAAGTTGCTGCACATAGAACTGTTTGACCGACATTAATATTTTCATTCGTGTAAAGTGTATTTACTATATCTACACTAATATTAGAATATTATTAGAAAAAAAAACTATTCACAAACCTATTATTAAGTATTTTCAGCGAACGTTGTTTGTGCTATCGCAATGCACATAATAGATATTACCTTATTAAATAGCATTTCAATTTTAGCATAAATTCATGCTGATGATTAATTCCTAAAAAAATATTAAAACCACATTTTTTGTTAATCTAAGTTCTTTACACAACTTTGTAAGAGACTTAATATTTTTATAATATTAAATGTGAAAAAGTATAGTATTTATTAAAAAATCGGTTATAGCAATCCAACACGTATGTTTACAATATTGAAACTCGTTATCTCCATTGCATTATTAATACATAACGCTTGTGAGACACACAATATGGTATTTAGATTTATTTCAACAACAAGCATTACCGTATAAATTAGAATATGTAGGTACACACACATCGGTTAGGTAACCAGCAAAAAGTGTGAAACATGCAAACAAAAGTTAGAGAATAGCACTCACGGTAAATAGAAGGCGGTTCTACTATGTCTTTTTTGTACTCAGGAATCTAGACTTTCGTTCAAGATGTGTATTACATAGCTTTGCTCGACCTGCTTTGGGTTTTTAATTTACGATTTTTTATATATATTATACATGATTTTTTTATAGTTATAACCAAAAGAGATTATAAATGATTTAGGAAGGTTAAAGGCAAAAAAATCTACTGGTTTGACGATATTTAGTAAGCAGATTGAGGGTAAACAACTAGTAAACAATAAATTTAATTCATAATTTAACTAAAGATACAGGTTAAAACATACGTTTGTTAATTATAATTAATATTTAAAAAGAAAACCCTGCTTTTTATATTATTATTAATTACTTGTAAAGTATCTTTGAAAAAGATATTAATTCAGTCAGAATAAACAAAAGTAAGTTAAAGATATTTTCATATTACTCAGTTTTATATTTGAAAATTTCTTACAATTATAAATAAAATACGAGTATAACACGTTTCTTTAAGAAGCTCACTTTTACCAAGCGACTGTCGTGGCAAATACCTTCATATTCATGTCAAGTATCGTTAAGATAATTTAATTGGGTCGCAATACTGCGAATTAAATTTGGTTATTTACTTAATAGTTTATTTCAATGGGTATAAATATGCTGTTTTCAAAATTTTAGAGGATCTGGTAAAATTGTCTTTACACTTTTTAAAAATTCCACTAAATACTTGTAGCACGCACTCGCGGTACAGGCATATTTCAATTGAAAGCTTTGTCAAGAAGCCAGGTGATAAAGTTTAATGTAATTAAGTTCTTACAGAAAGATGCTGTTACAACTTTCAAGTAATTATTTTAAACAAAAACTTTTCAAAGCATACGAAATTTCAAATAAAATTATATTATAAATTCACTTAGTAGGCAAAACATAGACCCTATATTTATAAATTAAACATTTAATGCCAATTTAAAAAAGCCATAAATAACTAAAGCGGTACTTATAAATATTATTTCATATTTATAAGTAAAGTACTAACTATTCTTAATATAGTTAGATGCAATCAAGAAAAAACAACTCACAAAAATTAGATTTATCCCCAAACAAGGCTGTAAGTAAAGTTTGTTTACTCACGTTGCTACTTCCTTGTCTACCTTATCCGGTAGCGAGTGATGAAAGGGGCGCTTCTTCTAACACAAAAGATAAATACCACTGCTGAACAAGAGGAGTAATTGAGATAAACAGATGTGTTTCTACTCCATAACTTTCTGCCTCCAAATGTAACATAACAAAATCAACAAAGTTGGTCTACTAACTTATCTTTCCTTTACCAACGGACCTATTTCACAATATTACACGAAACCTTTCCACAATATTTGTAAAATACCCAAATGTAATACGCTTTGACGTTGATAGCATCATAATATTTATCTACGGCAAATATTGACCTTAACTTTATAGTACGAGTAATGTCGCTTCTAGTAAAAAATATTTCAAATGTGGCGCATAAAGACTGAAGATGAACAGGTCGGGCTACGAATATACCGTGCCTGTATCTACTACATACTACGCAACCAATTCACGGCCACCGCAATATGAGCGAGGATACGGGCAGCTTGCGCCAGTACCACTTTACAGTCCCTCCTCACACCCTCTCTCTAATTATGCCGACGTGTACGAAGGAAATAATGATACTACACTAAGAGCAGAAGAAAGGCACTGGTATATAGAAAATCATAAAAACTTGCAAAGCAATTACAGCGGTAATCATGATGCTACTTCTGAAGATATCAAAATTAAAAAAGAAGAGGAGAAAAAAAATGATGTTCAAATTACAAGGTCTGACACGGCGCAAGTGCGACAAAGACGAAAAGAGGACCGTTGCTCTTGCGAATGTTGGCCTACTTCAGACAATAATGGCATACAAGATACTAGTGGGAATGACACTGCGAGATCTTTGTCAGGAGTCGATATGGTAGCATCTTATGGCGTGTATGGAACCTCACAAGATGAAGATCACTCTGGCTTCGCGCGCATATCAGAGAAGAATGCAACGTTTAGTCAAAGAAATGAGCCTCCTGTACAAGGTGTGATAGTTAATCAGCAAGGAAACAGTGCAGTCGTGAGATCCACGAGTTCAACTGATGCGTCATGCAGCAAGTGTTGTCGATGGTCAACAAATGGACAAGCCCAAGCTAATTCAGAAGATTACTGCTGGATACATTATTGTAGACCAGCACTTATTATATTATTACTATTATTTTTTCTTGTATTATTGGGAGTTTCAACAGGGTTCTTATTGACAAATAATTGTGAGTATAATACTTATCTACTAACAATTTTATTAGCATTAATTGTTTATATATTTTTAATTTTTGAATGAAATATTAACAGTCATAATATACGGTCTTAACCATTAACATAAAGATAAGTAGGCATTACATTCTAGGGTTACAGGCTCTTAAGAGATCGAAATATTTGGAATTGTAATTGATATATTATATGATTATTTTATTAATTATTATGCAATCAGTGAATTTAATGATATTAAGGAATACGGAAGTGTTTAAAAATAGGAGAAATCTTAAATTGTGCTTTGCTTACGCAATATAAATGATAAGTGCCATTTGTATGGCCTACGCCCTTAATTCACAGTTGATTCTGTTGAAATGAAATAGTGAGGTGAACGAGTGTGAGGCGCGGGTACGGGGAGCAGCGTTCCGCTCGTTTTTCTCTGTGACAGAACATTTATTTTAGTGGCACTTTGGACGCTACGTAGGGGATTTTCAAATTGCAATGAAACTATTGATGAAATTTAAATATTAATCTGCAAACAAATTTCAATCTGTTTTACGTATAATATTTAAAAAAAAAAAAACTAGTTAGTTCTGTACACAAATCCTTCATTTTATTTCATATTTCTCTTAGTCATTTAGTGCATTTCAAAAATTGGCCTGTTGGCATTGCTTACTGCGTCTGAAGCCACAGTCATGCCATTATGTTTTTTTTTAATTTTAATTGAAAAACAAATTGTTTGTCTATCCAGATTTTTGTCATAAAATTTAATTAATGAGAAATTCATATCTATTATTTTCCATGTCAAATTATTTTAGTTATAATTTTCTCAACATTGACAACAAAAATAATGAATAATATCAATACATTCATATTATATAAATACTTTTTTTAAGCAAACATAAACATATCATTTTTAAAATTATACTCAAATATTTAATAAGTTTCATGAAATATCTCTACACATAATATTTAAATGCATGATATTCCATTGATACAAATACAATAAAAAGGCTATTTGAATTGAAGAATACAAATTAAATTGGTCGATACACACATATATTGAATACATAGTTCAAGCTACTTACTGAGTTCTGTAAAAGTAGGTTATAACGACATTTGATTCATTTGCAATGAAACCTTAGAATCATGCGATATTTGTTACATTAATGATTTTATATACGTAAGTTTGTTTGACAAGGTGTCTACTAGTATTAGTGGACTCTCTTAAGGCGGCACTATTTCCACATATATTTATATATCTAACTAGCATTGCCCGCGGCTCCGCCCGCGTTTAGATGACCAAAAACCAAATTCTTAGGTTTTACAGATTAGAATACTCTTACATTGAATGATTATATAATTTACGACAAGTAGTCACTCTAGGCGATACTTTAATATTGTTGAAATAACACCATAACTCTCCTCGCAGCGTCGTAAGCTTTACTGTTAGGAGGCGTTCGCAAACGTAGGCTCATTTTATTACGAAAGAATGCAATTGTCAAGGGTTCACTATTAGATAGACTGTTGAAAAAGTTGAAATGGACCGTATGAATTTCTCCTTTTTTCCTGAGAATTAATTTCTAGCAATGCCTGGGGACTGATTCACGGGTCACGTTCAACTTTAGCTTTGGAGCGAATGGCTAATCGATCGATTAATTTTCACGGTGCTCGAGCACAAAATTCTTGCGGTATATATGAACCGATTTGAAATATTTAGTTCACTAAATCCAATCTATGGTTACATATTACTGCAGTCTTTCTAGATCAGTGACTTGACATAGTTTTTACGTTAGCCTACGAGTACCTGATATTGATATATATTTCTATTTCTTTGTGTTGCAGTTACGATTGAATAAAATACAATTAAATACAATTAATTACTTACTGGTTACAAAGATTTGTGTCAAACTTTTTATTTTCTTACTTTGGAAAGCTTTTGAAAGCTTAAATGTTTATTATTTCTTTGTTTAAGTCTAAGCTACGAGCTTAGAAAAGTAATCCTGTATATTTGTTCTCTTTTGCCTTAATGGATTAAGTCGTTTAAATCCATTCAACATCTTGTCTCCTTTTCTCAGAAAACATTAAAGTTACATTTTTTACTAGATTTTTCCCGCGGATCCATTATATATTATATTATATAATTATGTGCTACTAAAGGTGCAAGCGTGATAATTTACATAGCTTTCCAGCAATAAAACGCTATAAAATGCAACACGCTATAAAATGCAACAAACAAAATTGGTCTGGTAGTTTCGGAGGTCAGCATTTTTTGCCACTTTTCGTCTCTTACACTGACTGAACTCGTACTTATACGGGCGACAAAGACTAGCGTATTGAATCAATCATCTTTAGTTTACTTGACTTTTAATTATGACATCAAAAATATGGACAAATGGTCGATGAAAATATACTCCACTCCACCTTACTAAGAATTTTTCTTAAACAAACTTTTATTTTCTATTCCGAAGAAACTTTTTTGTCTATAGGGATACATTATGGTATCCAAAGTATTTTTACAATCAATTATCATAAAAAATCATTTATCATTTTTCGATTAATATAATTTTCGAACAACTCCTATCGGCTATCTGTTTTCTCGGGATAATTACTTTCCGGCACAAGTAGTATCATCCGTCAATCTCACAAAAGTTTTTTTATTGGTATTACTAATATGTATATGTTTTGAATAGAAGAAAAAATTGCATTGTTAAAGTATATTTAACTATTCTACGAAGAAGCTAAAATCTTATATGTTTTAAAGCGTTTAAAATTTCCTAATTAAAATTAATAGTACTCTTGTAAGATCTTTTATCTCATCTTATCTGCTCTCCTTTTTTATGTGCTTCAATAATACAAATAATAACAAATTTTTAAAAGCTTTAATTTCAAGTTTCAATTTTATTAAGCCAGAAAACATCTAATTTCTCTACAAACTATGCCACTTCATTAAAAATGCCTACTAGTTATAATCTCTCAGCCATTCCGATTTCCTTCAAGATAAACAAAGTTTCAAGTATCTGATTTATCACTTAACAATAGCGTATTCGTAGAATCACATTTTCATAGCTTGGATATACGTAACTAAGAATAATATTGTATATGAAAAACAATTTTGACCTATTCTTCTTAAATAGATTTAAGATTTTTATTCAAAAGAAACCACATTTCTTTGATGTATGTATCATTTCTTTGTGTCATTGTGACCATGTTTGGTGTATTTATGATTGAATTTTGTATCGCATACGTATACTTTTTACAATTTAAATAAAACTATCTTTTCGGATTTTGTCGCGGATTTATTTGCATTTTTGTTTCCCGACGTTTTGAATGCTTTACAGCATCCATGGTCACGGGAGAGATCTAAGAAAGTATTACTTTTTACAAGTTAAATAAAGGTTGCAATTATTTGTATAACGGTATGAGCATATTTTCGAATCATTAATAAACTGGCGATGTTTGAAAGTAAATTTTTTAAATCACGCACGTGGCTACGGTTGTGTCCTGCACAATAAAATAATTGCGTATAAAGCTATAATTTATACAATAATGAGAATGACTAACGGTTACTTAACACGCACCCTCTACTCTAATAAATAGACCGCTACTATTTACAGCGAAAATGGTAAACGTCTACGATAAGTACCTATATCTTATAATTTTCTCGACCCAAAAAATGTTATGGATAGATTAAAAGAATTTGATCTTGTATTTTAAGTAATTTAAAATGGTATAAAGTGAAATTAAAATATCTTGTCTTTTTCTTCAACATCAATTTTTAATTTTGATTATTTGTATAGAATTACTTAAAATAAGATATTTTTACAATCACTTTCTACCCTCTACTTTCTACTTATAAGAGCTCTAATTTAAGAGTTACTTGAACATTATATGAGCGTATTAGAAACGTGGAGTAGAGAAGAGTGGATACCTGTAGTACAAATTATATAAAATAAAAAAATATATCTGTATCATCTATATCATCATATTACTAAATGTTTATGTTCATAGAATATGATAGGTATTTATTATCTATTCTTATATTTAGAAAAAATATCTACATATCTATTATAAAGATATCAAAGCTTAAATCCAATCAAATTGAGCTAACGATCTCAAGATATAGATCGCACTTGCTAGGTGGTGCGTGATGGCGCTTGACACCCGTAATATCCGGCAGTTGCCCACCGATGATATCAATTTCAATTTGTTGCGGCGGTGTACCGGCCGCCACGATTCCTTATAAATCGATACCACTTCAGTTTCCTGTTGCGTCCATACCGGATTTAATCTCGGACTCGATTGAAATGCACTATATCCGCTATCTGTTAAATTTTCCTTTTTATTCAGCTTAATGATTGGAATGCTTAATAACATGGCACGTATATCGATACGTGGTAAAGTACCGACTTTAATATATGTATGTATATCTGGACTATACTTCCATTTATTAATTTACTTAATCCCTTTCATGTAAGCTACGAATAATCTTCTTATATATGGTTCATTGGTGTTTCAATGTAGCTGCTGATATTATACACGTTAATATTTAATATCGAATTATTTTGCCGCCTGAAAAAACAAGTTGTATGAGAATAATGCGAAATTTATTGTATTAATTAAAAATATTTGGTGAGAAAATATAGAAAATACAACATATTTGAAAATAATTGTGGTCCCCTATGAAACATTAGGCACGATAGATACGCCTGAGTTTTTTTTGGCAAACGAACAGAATTTTTTAGATTGCATAGTTACAGTTTCGAACGTAGAATTGAGTTTGATATTTGCATAACGTTTTTTTCGAACCTTAGTTACGTGCTATGAGAGTCGATACCCGTTCTTCGTCTAACATTGTGCTGCGATCGGATTCGTTTACCACGTGACTGGGCACCGGTCGAAGTTTAATAGCCTCGTATATGTAAAGGACAAGCGCGGTACGTCCAACCAATTTGCAATAAAACAATATGGCATCCCAGCACACCCTGGCCTGTGACCGCGCGTTTTGCCAGTCTCTTGTATTTTATATTATCCGGACTGCGAAGCCATTAGGCGCGACCCCTTTATGTCACATTTCAAAATGTTATTTTCCTTTGCTTTAGTTCAAATTAATCCGTGTAGGTGGAAACGAAAATGTAGATTTTAATTAAGTATTAAACAACTGTGTAGGTAAATAATAGGGAACTTTAAATGTTTATACTTTGAAATGAATAGTGTCCCGGATTGTTGAATAATACCAATTATTCGATAAGTATATGTACCTACATAGCATAGAAAAGGCATTTTCAAGTCACCTCATCTCCAAATACCTAATAGTCTATGGCATAGAATAAATAAAAATAACAATAATAATGACGTAATATTTATAAGCTGCTCGTTAACTTAATACTCTTAAAGGATAAAGAAAGTAAATGAAAGCAACGAATATTTTATTTTAATTTGCTACAACTTCTACAAAATAAGCTTATTCAGAAATAAAATATTTCTTAGTTTCACTCGATAGTTCTAAGAAAAATAAATTTAATTAAATGAAATAAAGTCTACAAAATAACAATTATTTTAGTTAACAAGCTTAATAAATATTATGTGAAGCCGTGGACTGTGGTTGTTACTACGTCTGGTTTAAAAATGTTCATAATAGATACGAGCGAGTATCATGGGGTCAGTTTCTCAGGAAAAAAATAGTTTAAATAAATATTAATAAATGGCGTAACATATATGATTTTGTTATTGATGTTATGTATTTATGTATAAAATTATTAGTTCATCATGTTTAAGAGCCTCCTTAAAATATCAGCTTAAAAAAATATGAGCGACGTTTAGAAATAAAAATATCGACGAATGAAAAAAAAGTTTTTTTTGACGATTTTTGACATAAAAAAATAGCGAGCTACCTCTAAAAAAATTTTTATAGCTGATTTTTTTAGTAGGTTCTAAAAACATGATTAACTAACATATTTTTATACGAGACACGAAAAGTATGTCGAACTTTTTGCCCCACCCTGATGTACGAGTATGTCTAATCAATAATACTACGTGATATCGATGAAGTAGGTAATTTGTGTTGAATTGAAAATTTAATTGAATTGCAAAAAAACTATGGTAGAAATGTAAACCTAGGCTTGTTTTAAAAGTAAAATAGGCCAAATAATGGCCCGAATAAGGGTCATCGAATTTCATCGTTTGGAATGGGATCTCTTAGCTTTACTAGTATAGTATTATGTTATCTGTGATAATATACTTATCGTAAAAGTAACATTTTTTATTTTAATCTCTACGTTAATTAAAGGCTCTCGTTGCACTGAGTTTGTGATTGTTCGGACTAATATTCGACACTAGCGACTCACCCTCGCTCCGCTCGGGTTCTTTCCTATGTGATTCTTAAAATGATGTAACTTTTTATTTATGAACTAATTGAAATAAAACAAATACTAAATGTTAAGTAAAGCTTAAAAAAATATATGAGTGAAAATCGCATCCAAATTGGTTAAACCGTTTCAGAGATTAGCGCGCACAAACGTACAGACAAACAGACAAAAATTCTAAAAATCATTGTTTTGGGTTCTATTGCGTAAGTAAAGACCCCCAATGATAGTTTTTCTCAAATATGTTCCATGTACTTACAGACCGCAATCAGTTACACTTTTATTATATGTATATAGATTATTGTATGGAATTTCATACGGATTTCGACGATAGGTGATGGTTTATCTAGGAAGGTACCTATAGGACATAATTTATGAACAAAATAAACCATGACAATTGTGAATTAAGTCCGAAAAAATTCTGCCTTCCGAAAGCTCACGCTTAGCACTAGTTTTAAATATTACCATCGCTAATAACAGTTTCATATTATGTGCAAAATATGTAACATTTAGTACCGTTTAAAATTATTGAAGCAGACAACAAGTAAAGTTAAAACGCTGCGGTGTGTATGGACTGGCTTAATAATTAGATTATTGTGGTTTCTGCTCTAAATAACAGTACCAATGGATTTACAAATGGACTGCGCGACGTTGTTATTTTTTAAATCATGTATAGTTACATTTAATATTGTTTATATTTTTTTTAAAGCAATTAAAATATTTTGTTTGATTTCAGATTTACATTACCAACCACGACCACCAGCTCCAGAGGGTAAGTTCTGTTTGTTTATAGCTTTATATATATATACTTCTATTGGTTCCTTACTATATCGTATCAAAGATCTATTAATCGTTTATTTTTTTATTGTTAAATTATTCTTTTGTTCATAAATTGATAAGCTATTTCAGGAACCAGACGGCTCAGATCACGAGCTTAGCTCTTCAAATTATCCTTTTCCACTGAATCTGATATTCCAAAGCTCTTTTGTAGAGTAAGTATTCTATTAACATAAATGGTAGGACTATTTGCTGATGGCGAGTACATTACTTAAGGTTCTATTCATACGAAACGACAGTCTTGTGTTCAATGGCTGGCGTGGCTTTTAAAAGAAAAACTTCTGTGTAAGAGTATTAGTAGAAAGATAAAATAAAATTCAACATTTCTTTCCATTTTAAATTATATTATATGCAAACGTTAAATATTTGGAGGTATTGTTGTATTAAAATTATTTTAAAACTTAAGTGAATTTCTACTAATATGTTTTTGGAATATTCTTAGTTTTTGAAAATTCAAATGAAATGCTTCTTATAACACAATTATACACTAAATACTAGCATCGCCCGCGGCTCCACCTGCGTTCAGATGACCAAAAACCAAATTCTTAGGTTTTACATATTAATATACTCTTACGTTGCAGTTTTTGTATTTTTTCTCAGAAATGAGATATTTTCCCACAGTAAAACGTATCCTATATGTTGACCTGGATAACCAGCTATCATCATACCAAATTTCATCAAAATCAGTCCAGTGGTTTTTTCGTGATGCGGTAACAAACAGACAGACAGACAGACAGATAGATAGACAGACCAAAATTCTAAAAACAATAGATTCGGCCTCTGTATCGATAATAATGTCTATTTCAATAAGATTTTCCAAAAAATATTTTCGGCTTAGTTAGAATTTTATTATTATGTCTAGATGTATAGACTAAGTTGATTTTATAAAAATCATAATCTATTCACTTTTAGTTTGTCATGTATTATGCTAGTTCATTATAACTATTCCAGTTCAACAGATGCTTTTAGTTATTATATAATTCGAGTAATTATAACGTGCCACGACTTTGTTTTGTGTGTTTGGAACTTTACAAGCCTTATCTTAGGTCCACACGTGTACGTTGTGCGGGTGACATGCCAACTACGTCGGGAGCCAGCAAAATCGCTTTGTTCAGACTTTGGGAGGGCGCGTCCCACATTAACCTCTTTAGTCCGTGCCGTGTTATATTATAACGCCTAAACTAGTTACATTTTAAGTGATTATTCTTATACATTCTGAAAATATATAAGAAATCTTGATAATTTATAATATGTTTACTACTTTAAATAAATAATCTTGAGAAGATATTAAAAATCCCTAATATTACATATTGTATATTCAATATAGTTTTATGTATATTTGAGTTATCACGTAAGTATATTATTTATTAATTTCCATAATCTTACTCGTTTATCCGTAGGCTCTGTATAAAAATAAAATATACGAAGATCTACTTATCGATAATTTAAACAGTTCGAGCGTGGCTGAAAGAGGAGCGCGGTGAATATCCTAATTTTCTTCAATTCACGAGGCATCCGCCATCATTTTTATCTCCCCTCCTGTCTCCATTTATATCAGGCGTCTACAGCGATTCGCCTTCTAGAATTTTGTTTGTTTCTTTCGAAATTGTTATTTCCGACTGCTTTCGTTTCTTTAAGCGGATTCGTCTACAACCTTTATAAAATTCAAGGAAATGAATTCTTGGTTAAATCCCGATTTCTGATCTTATTTCCTTTGAAATCTTATGGGTTTCTTTTCACTTTTCATGTTAGAATAATATTGCTGCGTTTTCTTTGGATTTAAATAATATACATGATTTTGAGTCTTATCTGTAAATGTTTATTATTAATATAAAGTATTTAATTCTAAGTGTAACATCATAGCCATGTAGCTACTTCCAATTTTATATAGTTAAAATTATGAAACAGCGTTTTTGACTATATAAAATGAAAGTGAAAATATGTACAAACCGAGAAAATAACATAATGGCGTGCAAAAATATTATTAAGTTTAAAATTTGAAAGAAAATTGTACATTAACTTTTGCTAAACCGTTGTGTGACTTCGCACTCGACAATCTCTGCTCGGAATTTTAACTAGGCGATAGAGATCGGTAATCCCAAAGCCAGCTAACACAATGCGGTGGTGAGGCGGATTCGCATCTTATTTTAGTCCGCCTTAATAATTTAGTCACGGACTCGTCTCCCCAGGTAGAAAATTGGAAATTGTGCCATTCTTCAAGGTTTGCTTTAATCATGTCACTTCAGACCGCTCTGTTTATCTAGAAACCTTAGTTTATTTCTTACTTATTTCATAAATCATTGTTATATTAAAATTTATATATTAAATATTACTAAAATCAGAATAATTTCTTAGAAGCATGCGAAAAAACATTCTGCCGATGGGGAGCGGAATGCGTCTCATTAGGCGACGGGCGCGCCCATTGCGCTTGCCCCACAAGCTGTCCATCCTCAGCTACACCGGTTTGCTCTACTGCTGGAAGAACCTATCGCAACCATTGCTATTTAAGAAAAGAAGCTTGTGAAAGAAGGCTCAATTTGCGTATCAAGCACGAGGGTGAATGTGGTACGTATTCATTTTGTATCGATATCATAAAAAATTTATTAACACAATATCACGAATAACATGTCTCTTAAGCTATTTAATGATATTTTTAGTTCATATAAACCTAACATAAACTCTGTCATTGCTTTTAAATGTCTCAGCAATAACTGCAAAAGTCGTATCTTAAGTTAAAATGCGAAAAATATACAGCGTTCCTGCATAAATTTCAACGTAAATTAGTGTAGGAGGTAAATAACAAAACATGAATAACCCTTTACCCCAAGTCATCTCATAAAATATGTCGTCTCGCGACAGCAATTGCGAGTATTTTGCCACGGTAAATTGAACTGAAGTTTTAGTTCATTTAACATCTCGGGTAGAGTTTTCGAAAAATACTCACAATGTTCGTGGAGCAGCTATTTAATTTATGCATGCATTATATTATGTTTAATATATTTTTTTGCTACGTTATAATGAAAAGTTGATGAATATAGTTCATAGAATAAAAGAAATAGAGAATAGAATTTTCTTCTACAAAACAATTTAAAGCATAGCGAATTTTCTACCTTTATTTCTACATTTATTGTTTACTAGCAGAACCCGCGGCTTCGCTCGTGTTAAAACTACAAAAATAAACTAAAAAAGTAGGTTTCATACAAACTTTCAACCCCTATTGGCCCTTTGCTATTTCAGCTCCCTTATGGGATGAATTTCGAAAAATGCTAAAACACGTATGTATTTAATTATATTGAAGAGCATTAATACCAAGTTTCAATTAATTCTGATTATAAATGATATTTTGGGCTGTATAATGTGTTTTTGTTGTAAAATGTACCCTATGTCACTCACCAGCCCTCCAACAATCAATCAAAAATCACACAAAAAATTAGGCCAATCCGTCATTTCGTTTCGACGTGAAAGAAGGACAAACAAACAAACACACTTTCACATTTATAATATTAGTATGGAATATATTAAGTACTAATCAAAATATTTGTAATTAAAAATATGCTTGCATGAACTTTTAATATATAAGTGGTACTATCTCTATTTTTAACATGTTTCTGACTATATTTGAACAAAGAAATAAATAAAAATGAAATTGCTTTTAACATCGGTTAACAAAAATTTCATACTTTTATTTTAATTCTAATGTACTATTTTTGGTTGCTGATATTTTTTATAGCTTTAATTCATCACGAAAATATTAAAAATAGTTCATTTTTAAATATTTTAGCAAGGAAAATATGTAATACAACTAGCGACTCACCCTTGCTTCGCTTGGGTTCGTCCCTGGGTACATTGTAACGATTAGTATGGAACAAATAGACTATACTATATACATAGGTACGATAAGCTCTATATCCCATACTTGAGAAGTAATTGATTTCCCATACAAAATTTCATCCCCAATTTCACCCCTTTAAGGGTTTATTTTCGGGATAAAAACTATCCTATGTCCTTGCCATGGTCTCGAACTATATTCATACTAAATTTGATGTAAATTTTTAGTTTATCTTATCCAACCAAATCACATTTTTTTTTCTTTATATTATAAGTAGTGATAAGGCCGCCTTTGCACATTTCTTTAAATGTATTTTTTTGTATGTATCATTTTTATTTTTGTGTGCAATAAAGTGTTTAAATAAATAAATAAATAAGTATAGATTTACAGTCATTTTATCTCTTATAGAAGCTGGGGACCCATGCAGTGGAGTAACATGTCCAACGGGTGCTAGATGTATAGTAACATATGGCCAGGCTGAATGTCGATGTCCACGAAGTTGTCAAAGACGGAAGCCGGTCTGTGGTAGCGACGGCCGCGAATATCCATCTGCTTGTCATCTTGATAAGCACGCCTGTGACAATCAACTCAATATCACAATCAAGTATCATGGAAAATGTGGTAGGTAGTATTTTATCACTCGTTTATCTTTATGAATTACATGCACTTTGAAAACCATGAGAAAAAACTTACCAATCCACAATCCACAGGGCCGATTAACCATGTTGGGGGGCCCTAGGCAACGCAATTCTCGGGGCCCTATCATCTTTTTCTAACTTATTGATAGAACATTTTTTCTATCACAATGCAATTATATTCGTAATTACGCTATTAGGTAGATTTCATAAAAAAAATCAAACATTTTCAAAACGGAAATCTCGATACGTGAGGGCTCTAGCCGATGCAGGGTACCTAGGCAGTCGGCTAAACTGCCTTATGGATAATCCGGCTCTGACTTAATACAAATAAAAACAATACAAAACTTCACTTATAGTTTACTTATACATAATGAATGTAAGGAAAACCGTTAAGTTTTCCTTACATCAAATCTAAGTAATAAAATAAAGCTAATATATTTCAAAGAAAAACAAATCCTTTGTTTATTTGGTATTCTGACATTTTCATATAAATTGCTTACATAATCGTAACAAATTAATACTGAATATTAATATTTACGTAGAGGAAATTATTCAAAACAAATGATTTTGTATTGTTCCATCTCAAGTTTGAGATCGTGAATGAAACTCGTTATGAAGAGGTCACTTCCTAATAAAAGGAATGGAGTATATAAAAAGGGCCAAAATCTTTTCCATAACTTATGTTGAACTGACCGAATTTCTGCCGTAAAAAACGATAGTGTCAATGAACGTAAAACACTACTTTTTCTAACATTATAATATTCATCACGCATACTATTTTGATTTTAAATTAAGATTGAGACTACTCTATACCTTTTTCTTTTAAAGAACTAAACTTTATCGTTGCAAATGTTTGTTGAGCTGTATTAGAATTGTAATTTATTGTAGCAAAAATTCTTCGTGCAATATAATAGAGTTTGTTTGAAGTATTTGTAGACTTCCTTGAAGAATTTATTTTCTAATAAATGTAAGAGCATGTAACAAAAATCTTTTTTCAGAAAGTAATTTAATCTTCTTTACTCTCTTCACGTACGTTTTGTGAACCCTTTTCACAAAACTTGTCCCCGGAACATTCGATCTGGACTGAATTTGTACAAGACCAAATGTCGGCACATTCCAACATCCTTTGTGAATTTCACAGTTGTACTTCACTAGTCCGCTTTATACTTATATTACATCATTTATCTTAAATTTTACATTTCTTTCAAAAACACATTGTCTAATTTAGTTTTCTTCATAAAAACACATTACATTTCCGACCAAATTAAATCATATAAATGTTAAAAACTAGATTAGTCCACTGTATACACTGGTTAAAATATTAAAAGCTTGCTACCTTATACTCGTGTACTCACGTTTACTCGAAAAACATTTTTCGACACGGGAATTTCTGTATTAAACGGGGCGTAGCGAGTAACTTTATTCTAGTGAAATGTTTTTTAAGTTTTAATACAGCCTTCGTGCGGTGATTAGATTGTTAAAAGCTGGGATGCTTTTAGTATACCAATAAAGATGCCTTCACTGCTAATAAAATTTAGAGATTAAGTATAATGTTGGACAAAGACAAGCGATTTGATTTATTTACCAAAATGAAATTAAAACTAAGATTTTTTTTCCTTGCTTAAGTATTATTGTATTGTAAATTTGTAGAAAAAAATGTAGGTATATAATATAAGATAGAAATACATTTAAAGTGATTGTAAATCTTTGTATTTTCCTAGTTACTCGTACAGATAAATATTATCTGCAAAATAATACATTTATCTAAATTAATTATATTATTAGTTATCAATTTTTTTTATTACGCTACACCTCGTGACTTGATGGTTTATATTTAGTATAATTTTATATTAAAAACATAGTGTCCCCTACACTGAGAGAGCTTAAAATTAAAACTTTAATGTATGTACATATATATCTACGCTTACTCTATACCTTGTTGATTTAATATAGACCAGACATTTCACCTTGGAAAAGAACGGATTTGCTATTCATCTCTCAATATTTACTTATTACATATCTATTTCTTAAATAATCTTGTTTACTTATATTATAAAATATTATCTTTTCTATGGGCCTCATGAAAAACATGTGGAAATAAAGAAATAAATATTTATGAATTCTTTATTTAGATCCGTGTGCAGAACATGAATGTATCGATGGGGAGGTTTGTCTTTTGAACGAAGTCCGTGCACCTACGTGTAAATGTGGTCCCGCGTGTGAACTCATCGTGCGACCAGGCTCCGCAGTATGCGGCTCCGACTACAGGGACTATGTCAGCGAATGTGCCCTCCGTCAGGAATCTTGTCGTACCAGACAACAACTGTCTATTGCTTACAGAGGAGAGTGTGCGTCAGGTTTGTTTACCGACTTATTATATTTTATACTAGCATTGCCCGCGGCTCCGCCCGCGTTCTGATGACCAAAAACCAAATTCTTAGGTTTTACATTTAAGTGTACTCTTATATTGCAGTTTTTGTATTTCTTCTCAGAAATGAGATATTTTCTCGCGGTAAAAATGTTGACCCGGATAACCAGCTATCACCAAATTTCATCAAAATCTGTCCAGTGGTTTCTCCGTGATGCGGTAACAGGTAGACAGACAGACAGACAAAAATTCTAAAAACTATATATATAATAATGTCTATTTCAATAAGATTTTCCAAAAAATATTTAATGTGCAGATTCAGCTTAGTTACAATTTTATTATATGTTTAGATAAAAATTAATAGTTTCATAAAAAATATAGAATATATACTTATAGTTAAAAATTCAAAATGATGATAGGAAATAAGGATCTATTTCATTGCAAACTTTCCTACGTATAAGCACGTAGTTACCTCAAAGTCTTGTCTAATCTAAAATTAAATCTTTATTCGGAAACGCAAAGAGGTCCCGGTATTGGAGCCCTGTTGAGGAGACATTTTGTTCTAAAGAAAGTAATTGGACACGAGCATCGAAGCGTAGACTTCCCAAAAGCAATTGTGACAGCAACGATATAATTCAATTTTCTGGAGTTATTAACTCAATGTTTGAAGAGTTATTATCTTTTATCTATCCTTTTATCAATAAAGGGATACTCTCTCCGATTGAAATAATAGTAACATGAAAATTAACTGCTATTACGCCTTTCAAAAAATATTATATTTATATTGGGCATTATTAGCGTGGCAACACACAATGAAAATCATTGAAAATTTGATGAATAAATTAAATCTAATTGATAGCTTACTTTAGACGTCCTTTGCATTATTATTATTATATCTCTTTTTTCTTTCTCTTACTCTGTTCTTAGAAAATATTTTAAGCCATACCTAATAGATAAATGTCGCTTTATAGGTAGTTTATTTTTGTAACATGTATTTATATAAATTAAAGCTTTCTGTAAGTAGTCTTCTAGATAAGCTCGAATAAATCTGTCTGCATAGTTTTTAGGAGGGGAATATGGGAATTTATTTGTCATAGTAAATTTTTGTTTAGCCCAACATCCGTGCGAGTCAGTAAAATGCGGAGTGAGAGAACGGTGTACCTTAGACGCGCGAGGGGTTGCCGTGTGCGGTTGCGGTCCGGACTGCGAAGAAGTTATTCGACCGGTGTGTGGGACTGATGATCGTACATACGACAGCCCTTGTCTTCTGGACCGAACTGCGTGTTTGGATAATAGAGACATTCGTGTAGCTTATATGGGATCATGTGGTAAGTTGGATGCATGCTTTATTGGAATATTTAATTTATATGATTAGGTTTTTTTAATAATATTAATTAATAATATCATTTAGGCACTGTTTTTAGTTATTGTTCAAGAGAGAGAGTGGAAAAACCGTAGTAACATTTTTCATTTTTTTATTTCGTATATATACGTATACGTACGTACTATATACGTATCTGCTGATTGATTGTTATGTGTTAATTATGCAGAGGATACAATACGGAATTGGACCTCACGATTTCCCTCTTGCAAACCTAAATCTAATACCTTCAAACGAGCAATTCTTGTATATTTATTTATATATATATACCGGCGATCTTGGAAACGGATTTAACGATTTCGCTGAAATTGGGTATATGGCGGCTTTCGCGGGCGAAAAATCGATCTAGATTAGTCTTATGTCTAGAAAAACACATTTTTTTGAGTCTTCATGCGGTTTTCTTTCGAATTATTCCATGCAAAATATGGTTGTTAATTTCACTCGCTCGGGCATAAGCATTGTGGTCAAGTGGCAACGGTGCAATATTGACAATTACAGGTGTCCGGGTTCGAATCCCGGTCGGATTCAAAATTTTTAATATTTATTTTTAGTTTTTTTTGTTTTTAAGCCGTTTTAAAAAGAAAATTTTACTTTTAGCCAAAAACTCCAAGCGAAGCTATGTCCCCTAGGTACTTTTAAATAATACGTAAGAAACTCTTAGGCATATTATTCTGTTTCTCGCAATGTATGGATGTTAATTCGAGATAAGCTCTGATATGTTATCAAAGCTTTAAACCGGCTTTGAAGTCTAATAATGGCAAAAGCCTACTAGAATGGACAATTTACTTAAGCTAGTAAGATGTGGCTTGACTTCAGAAACAATTAGTTACTAGTATTATATACAAATTCCTAATTCTCATTCAAAATTAATTTAAACAATTTATGCCAGTAGTATATTATTGTACATCCGAATATAAATAAATATAAATATGTTGGGACATTAACACAGAGCACCATCTAGTTCCATGTAAGCTACGAGGCCTCTGTCATGGATACCAGATAGTTGATACGCTACACATATATATCTTAAATACGTACATATTATGAATATAAACACGTATGACTGGAGTACAAATATTCGTGCTCATGACACAAATGGTTGCACTCAGCGAGACTCGAACCAGTGACCGCTTGCACAGCTAGTAGGGTTATTACGAACTGAGCCAAACGTGTCGACGGTATGTTTATAAAAATGATACTTAGAATTTTATTACAAGAAAATTACACCTTTAGTGTGGCAGCACTTAAGTAAATGAAGACTTCGCTTACACAATAGCATACCCTTTAATGCACTTAATACTTTATAGAGCTTTTTTCTTTTCTAAACAATAGGAATTAAAAGTTTTCTCACTATCTCGATTGTAACTTTCTATTAAATAAAGTGAATTATAACTTTTGTAATAAAAAAATCGATTCATGACACACATTGCTATAAAGAATGAATATCTAGGTACTTTATTCAGTTTAATAAATACAATAATATTTTTTCAAAGTGTTGAGTATTAGGGCGTCATTGTTTTAATTTAAATAATGTGAACATTTTTTACATTAAGATTTCTAAATAGCTAAGAATTTATACCCAAAACTATGTAATGAGTCAATAATCTAGAATTTTGTTATAAAACTAATTTAAATAGGAATGTCTCGAGTCCTTCGACATTTCTGTTACATAGCACATTAAAGAAAACTTGCCTGAGGCGAAACAATAAAATCTGATACACTACGTAAATTAAATATTAAAAAGAAATTACAACTTTGCTCAAATACCATTTTTGCTTTGTCTAATAAATAATATAGAAAAATTTTATTAGTCTTACAAAGTATAATATTATTGTTAAAGTGGATGTTTCGCTTAAACATATAATAGGAATTTGGTACATCTGAAAAATAAAATTATGGTTTACTAGGGGAACCCGCGGGTTCGCTCGTGCTAATACTACAAAAAAGTGTCTAAAAAGGTAGTTTCATAGAAAATTTAATCCCCTATTTTACAACCTTATAGGATGAATTTCGAAAAATGCTAAAACACGTATTTATTTAATTTTATTGAAGAGCATCAATACCAAGTTTCAAGTAATTCTGATCATAAATATTTTTTTGGGTTGTATTATAACGTATTTTCTCGTAGGAATTAGATAATCTCCCGCGGTAAAAAATAGCTTATATTACTCTCCAGCGCTGCAACTATCTCCACACAAAAAATTACACCGATCCGTCACTACATTTTGACGTGAATGAAGGACAAACAAACAAACAAACACACTTTCACATTTATAATATTAAGTATGGATTTACTTTATAAAGATACAACAAAAAATATAATGCAACGCTGTATAACAAACTAGCATAAAAAGTTATTTACAAATTTACATACATGAATACATTTGATAGTACAAAAGTGAATTTTTCGGGCAGTATTGTCATGCAGAAACTTTTAGAACTATTTTTATTAGAATAAACATAGGTAGCTTTTTAAACTTTTCACGGAACACACGTTTGTGTATTTATTCCTGTAGCACTAATTCACAACGAATGAAAACAAATTTTTAGAGTATACAAATAATCCAATAAATAATTGTAAATTTTATTTCAATATTTTTGTAACAGAATATAAATTTATTATATATGATTCTATAGTTAGTTTTATGCACATAGATGACTATGGGGCTTCTTTATGTGTTTTACGCCATCCAACATTCCTGAGCTTTTAATATTAATTTAATAAAAAATTAAAACTTTTACTATTGCTAATTTAATCATTCTTTATATATACATAATACATATATTATGTACATAAACGAATTGCTAATTCATTCATGATTATGTATTTGGAATACTGCAATGTAATAATATGATACATCATGAAGATAATATAATTATGCGCTTGGGTTCTGTAATCGGTGAGAAAGCCTTATGATAGGAAAGTGGCTTTTTCAATTTTCAACAAAAAAAATTCAATACAGCAATTTCCAATTAGCTGAAATTATTATTGTGGATTGATAACAATTTACAATATTGTTAGAAATCGTAAATTTTTCTTTAGACATAATATTTTATGTAAAGACATACGAAATATTATAGTAAACGTAAGTTATGTAATGTATAGGAATAGAAAACCCATGCGCAAGAGCAAGTTGCCCGTGGGGAGGAGCTTGCGTGACTCGAGGTGGTGCGGCTCACTGCTCTTGTCCTGTGTGCGACTCGACGCCCGCGCCCGTCTGCGCCTCCGACCGCAATACTTATGGCAGCGAGTGCAAAATGCGTATGCATGCATGCCAAAATAGTCTACGAGATGGGGAGCTACGCGTACTGTACAATGGAACTTGTCGTGAGTATTTTATTTATATATAATTTATAATATTTTCTATACTTAAGAGATTTTATATGGAAAAATTTAGTCTTACCCGTGACTATGTTTGCTGTAGAGCATTAGAAACGTCGGGAAATAAAAATTAATTTGATTTAAATGTCAAATATTTATATGTAATCAAATTGAAGAAAGTATTATACTGAAGAGATTTTATAATTATACTTTTATAAGCTTAATCCAAGCATGTGTTTATGTTAAATTAATACTCTTCGAAATAATGGAACACATATTTTAATAACTTGGGAAAATCATATATTTCGAGACGTGATTAATTTTAAATAAGCAACCGTCCCGTAGGTAGACATATTACATCACTACGCTACACAAGGAAGTGATTATACATTCAAAATAATATTTTCAACTCAACTTATATTTTTTGTTTAATATATAACAAACACTACACGTACAATGAACATAAACATATGTATATTTTTATGAATGCACATACACAAAAATTTATCATATTACAAGTTGAGTTGAGTGAACATACGCTTATTTGAGTCGACCATTTCAATCAGCTGAATAGATAAATCTTATAAACTTTTCAAATAGATTTTCTGCTAAGCGTTTACATTTACAAAAAAGAAACATTTCATCAGCTATTCAGATGTTTGAAACCGGCGTCGATGAGTACAAAGGTAAAGATGAAATCAATTATAAAATTCCGATGGAAAAATTGCAATCAATTTTTCATGATAAGAGTCTTTACCTTTTGTAAAGTTGTCAATAAAGCGCAGAAAATTCCCTAAGCACAAAAATGCTTTTATAAAGGCTGCTTATTTCATACTAGCATTGCCCGCGGCTCCGCCCGCGTTTAGATGACCAAAAACCAAACTCTTAGGTAGTACATATTAGTATACTCTTACATTACAGTTTTTGTATTTTTTCTCAGAAATGAGATATTTTCCCGGGATAAAAAGTATCCTATAACATATAGATATACCCGGATAACCAGTTATCACCATACCAAATTTCATCACAATCCCTCCAGTGGTTTTTCTGTGATGCGGTAACAGACAGACAGACAGACAGACAGACAGACAGACAGACAGACAGACAGACAGACAAAAATTCTAAAAACTATAGATTCGGGTTCTGTATCGATAATAATGGCTATTTCAATAAAAATTACCAAAAATTATTTATTTTACAGATTCGGCTTGGTTACAATTTTATTATATGTATAGATTGCGTCTATCTTTTGCCTACGTAATTATCATAAGTCGATAGGTAAGGCAATAGATGTGTAACTTTTATGATATTAACATTAAGAAGGACAGTTTTATTTTAAAAATGTTAGATAAAATATAAAGAAAATATATTATATAAATAAAATATAAATATGTTGAGACATTAACACAGCACCGTCTAGTTCCATGGTAACCTACGAGGCTTGTGTTATGGATACCAGATAGTTGATACACTACACATATGTAACTTTAAATACATGCATATTATAAATATAAACACCCATGGCTGGAGTACATACATTCGTGCTCATCACACAAATGAATGCCCCCAGCGGGACCCAAACTCGCGACCGTTGGCATAGCGAGTAGGGTCACTATAAACCGTGCCAAAGTTATAAGAATTAATGCTAGATTAATAGAACCATAATAACTCATTATAATATATAGTATGAACTCTAATTCTAAGCAAACGTACATTTCTCGGCTTGTAATCGTTTCAGAATTAATTCAGAATATGTACCATTGTATATCAATTCATAAAGGACTAAGTGACATATACTCGTATCAATGTGAAACGAGACAATATCCGTATTATCCAGCTGCGATATTATAGTCTTTATATAAGTTCTAAGCCGCTTTATCCGCCGGCTTCACAAAAGTTGACTCATTAGGCTAATAGGATAAGCGAATATTAATAACAATGGATTTGTCACTTCCGCCCCCACTGGGAATGTCAATTAGAGATTAAAACGATTGTAGTGAATAATGAAACGGCTCAGATTAATGGAAGAAAACAAAGGTTTAATTTTACAGAATCTTATTGGTTATTGAATCAGTATTAGACGGGGATGTCCCCTTATAATCGCTTTCATATTTTAGTGAAGTCGCCTTCAGAGGATTTCAATTTCGCACTTAGAAAATCATTTGCTACAAACTGTATTCCCCGGATCGAGATTAAGCTCTCTCGTTTTAATCCGCTAGAGGATTGCTTAAACACGCGGTCTTAAAATATAAATTATAAACGGGGATACCGCGATTCAGGGTAAAAATATCTAAATATATTTACTCTACAGCTTATTTACGAGCATAGCAATTATTCTTTAAAGGGTGAAACGTGTCAGTTGCCAAAACACCTAAATAAATATTTTTTATACTAATTAAAATTATATATCACTGTAAGAGACCGCAATAAATGAAGGTGTTAAATACAGCTATGATAATTTGGTTGTTATTAATTAAATAACAGTTAACTTACACAAGAATAATGAATTTTTTTGTGGATTTCACATAAAATATGTAAAAGAAAATATATTTATGTGACCGTTACTGGAACGTTGAAATAGAATTCAACTTGCGTGGGAATCGTATCCACGACCTCAGGCGTAGTAGACAATGTCACTTAGGCTACTCGTAGTTGTATATCGTAGATAGATAGCAAAAATGAGTCTTGTTTGAAAATTTTTACAAATTTATATATTTTAATACTTTAATAAATATATTATATAAACAAAATACAATGTAACAAAAATACATAAAAGCACACAGTTCAAATGCGACCTTATCATTTAAAGTGATCTCTATTTGTAAATAAAAAATAAATATTGTTGTATTTGTTTTTGAAAAGAAAAACAAACGCTAATATTTATTTTACATTAGTGACTCACCCTCGCTTCGCTTGTGTTCGCCTCTAGAATAACAAAAACAAATCTATACCACGGGAATCGTACATTTTTCCGGGATAAAAAGTAGCCTATGGGTTATTCTGATATATATAGCTATACTATTATAAAGTTTCATTAAAATCCATTCAGTAGTTTATGCATGATGAGTGCATGAAGAGTTACAAACATCCATACATCTACACATCCTCACAAACTTTCCTATATACATACGAGTACATATATAATATTAGTGTAAATTATTTAAGTCACCATATTATGCATTGTAAGTTATGACAGTATATTTACGACATTATACTATAATCAGTTTTCAATAAAAGAATGGAAAATTCTAAATTATTCTTGTAATATAGAAACGTGTGCTGACGTCGTATGCGAGGGAGGCGGTGACTGTGAGGTGAATCCTGACAGTGGACGTCCAGTGTGTCATTGTAATCATAATTGCACAGACATACAGGTATGCTTAATAATTTTTTACTAAGTTTTGTATTCAATTATTATATTTATTATGTTTTTATTCAAATTTAACATCATATCGAAAGTATATTTCAAATCTATGTACATCGAATTTCGATAGATTTCATTTTCTATAGTCTGTATGAGTTTTTTTGAATTTAACAATAAGGACAGCATGTTGCATGCATAATTATTAAACGGTCTTTCAGCGGTACTGACAATTGTCGGAAGATAATAGTTTGAATCCTCGATTAGTATCATTTTCGGATATACAAGTGATTTTTCTTAGTATGGATCCATGACAAAGAATTTGTTACTTCTTGGACTTACATAATTATAATATAGCGTATGCTAGCTATTAAAGATGGCACTGTGTTAAAAAATAACTATAAATAACTTACACCCGATGGGAATCGAATCCCGCCCGGGAAGGTTTTTTAATCAAATGAAATATTTCAATTTTATTAACTGATTTTATCTAAAGCGAACAAATAAACTTTCTTTATAATAGCTTTACAAAAACCCACAATTTTAATTTGAACATGAACTCTTTATTGCTCCGAATTAGATTTTATTGCTTTAATTATAAAATTTTCAACGTTGCCTTTAAAGCTTTATAATACAAAAGCAGGTAATTTTGGCAAATATAGTGATTATGATGCGGTATTTTGTGAGCCCAGATTAAAATTATTGCTCGAATCACTTATTTTGATTGCAAAACAATTGATGTTAATTTTACACAACTAATATTTATATAGAAATGTAAATACTGCTTGCGAGTCAACAGAAGCTGGTATTAAACAGTGAATATCGCTTTATAATGTTAACTTCCTGTTATTTGTTTATATAAATATAAAACAGATTATTAAAAATTATTTACTTATCAATTAAAATTAAAGCCTATGGTGTTTCTCAAAGTTATAGGAGTTTAATCTTCCATGTGTAAGCCTTTTTATTTATCTTTAAGGACGCATTTCATATATATATATATTTTATAAGCTGTTGTTTTCCCAAATGTAAACATTATTTCTATTGTCACAGGCATCAGAAGTAGTATGTGGAACGGATGGCCAAACTTATCCGTCGCAGTGTGAACTAGATTTGACGACTTGCCGCGAACAAAGCGCACTACGGCAGGCCTACAAAGGAGACTGTGGTGAGTGCCTAGTTTAGTGATTTTAGTTTTCGTGATTAATCTACGATACACACGTGTATACTCGTATTAATTTAAAATGTGTAATAGCAAGAATATATTATGTACTAGCATTGCCCGCGGCTCCGCCCGCGTTCTGATGACCAAGAACCAAATTCTTAGCTTTTACATGTTCTTACATTAGAGTTTTGTATTTTTTTTGAGAAATGAAATATTTTTCCACGGTAAGAAGTATCCTATATGTTGACCCGGATAACCAGCTATCACCATACCACATTAAAATCCCTCCAGTGGTTTTTCTGTGATGCGGTAACAGACGGAGAGACAGAAAGACAGACAGACAGACCAAAATGCTAAAAATTATAGATTCGGCCTCTGTATCGATAATAATGTTTATTTCTATAAGATTTTCCAAAAAATATCTCATGTACAGATTCGGTTTAGTTACAATTTTATTATATGTATAGATGATATATAAAATTACAGCTTAAATGTAATTGAGTACAGATATTAGATATTATAACTACGTACATTTGCAGTGGCAATAGAAAGTAAACTAATTATCTTTAGCTCTCAGTGGTTAACCACATACTTGGACAAGCCTAGCCAAAGCTCGTAAATACAGATTTGAATAAAACTCCATAAGAAACAAGCTCGCAGCTTCTCTAAGTGACCGTATCATAAATAAATATACCGTGACAGAGATTTATGTTTTTGCGAACTGGTTTTGATTTTACATTGTTAATTTTAATGATTGTCTTCAGGAGTTACAGACAATTTCAAAAGGAAGTTCGCGATTCTCTAACTTTGTTAGATTTAATATTATACATATAATTGTTCAATTTAATCTTCTACTTGGGTTTATTAATGCTTTTTATGAATTGCAAAACCTTACCTTACGTAATATAATAAAATCGAAAAAATTATTGGTTTATTTTCGTTTAACGTACGAAATGAAGCTGCATTATAATGACATGCATGCATGAAATATTTAATAGACTATATATTGATACTATACGATATCTTTACTAGCGACTTTCCTTCCCTTTGCTCGGGCGCATTCCTGAGTATTTTTGGTATTTTTTGTTACATACAAACAGTAGTTTATGTGACACTCTAATTCATAGCCTATCTGTGTACTAAATGAAGAAATGATTAACAAACATACACGTAACAAATACATACACACGATGACACGTATGGCTCAGTTTGTAGTGATCCTACTTGCTGTGCCAGCGGTCACGGGTTCGAATCTCGCTGGGGGAATTCATTAGTGTGATGAGCACGAATGTTTATATTCCAGTCATGAGTGTTTATGTTTATAATATATGTATTTAAAGTTATACATATATGTGTAGTGTATCAACTATCTGGTATCCATAACATAAGCCTCGTAGTTTACCATGGAACTAGATGGTGCTGTGTTAATGTCCCAACATATTTATTTATTTATATATTATTTTTACAAACTCTTGCAATTTTAATAATATTGTGGCTTTGCTATAACAAGTGATTAAAGTGGGATAGTCTGCAGTCTAAAGATACAAGGACCACAAATGTGTAGTAATTAAAAAATATATTTATCCCGATGGCATTAATCAATAGCAGGATAATGAAGATTCATGTATTTAGGAATAATAGTGTGATATATTACAGGAATCATATACTAATATATGCAACTGGATGTACCGACCTACCCCTTTGAATAAGCGTAGTCACACAACTCATGTCAAGATGGACCTAATAATATACGCTCCATTACACTTTGACAGAATAGGCGTGCAGTAAATCTATATTATTATAGATTGGACGGAGAAATTCTAAATGTATGATATAACAGTATTGTACCATAATGATTATATCGTACAGTAACAATAAAATAAATTGGTCTCTTTCTTAAATAAAACATTCTTAGAAAATATCTTTTTCTAGTACTTTACTTCTATAGATATTTATTATCAAGAAAAAATTATCGGTAGCACAAAAACGTATGTATAGTATATAGCTCTGTATCTACATCGCGTTTCAAACGCCCACTATCTGTATTAATAGTGTTCGGTAAAAAGGGGCTTATAATATTCGGTATTTCAAAACTAATTTTAAAACGAACGGAACGGAATCTAGTTTAACTTATTACTATCAGATATTATAATAAGGCAAATTTCATTAGAATTAATTACCTACGTTGGAATAACGTTGACATTTTTAAAAACTTCCAGTATATTTACTGAATTCTGAGTACATTTTTTTTTCTAAAATCTGCAGCTTAATTGTGGGCAGCTAAAAGTTCTATTTGATCACAGTGCTATGAACTAATTATGAGCACTTGCGGTAATTCCACATAGGCTATTTGTGTTGCATTAGGCGATTAGTATTTTACATGTATATTAGATTTGGTTACATAATAAATGCTTTAATATTATAAATGACGACACGTTTGGCTCAGTTTGTAGTGACCCTACTTGCTGTTCCAGCGGTCGCGGGTTCGAGTTCCGCTGGGGGCATTCCTTTGTGTAATGAGCACGAATGTTTGTACTCCAGTTATGAGTGTTTATATATATATAATATTTATGTATTTAAAGTTATATATGTGTAGTGTTTCAAATATCTGGTATCTATAACACAGGCTTCGTAGCTTACCATGGAACTAGATGGTGCTGTGTTGATGTCCCAACATATTTTTATTTATTATTTATTTATAATATTATAAATGTAAAAGTGTGTTTGTTTGTTTGTTTATCTTTCTTTCTCGTCAAAACAAAGTGACGGATTGACGTAATGTTTTGTGTGGAGACAGTTAGAGGGCTGGAGAGTGACATAGGCTACTTTTTAGCGCGGAAGATTATCTTACTCCCACGGGAAAACACGTTATAACACAACCCAAAAAAATCTTTATGATCAGAATTACTTGACATTTGGTAATAATGCTCTGCAATTAAATAAATACGTGTTTTAGCATTTTTCAAAATTCATCCCATAAGAGGGGGAAAATAGGGGATGAAAGTTTGTATAAAACCTACCTTTTTAGAGATTTTCTGCTAGTATTCTATATTCATTTTCAGCATTTATGACTTAATAGAGAAATATATGGCAATATTCCTTGATAGTAGGTATATTTTAAGATAATTATTATCTTTGAACTCATATGTTTTTTTTTCATTTAGTTATTTTTAACAGAAGATATAAGAATTATAGCTAGAGTCACATCTGTGCCTTAAAGTTAATCTTCTTAATAAGTAATTAGTAGCTAATGAGGCAAATTCCCTTAATAAATGTTTTTTTTAAAAACATACCAAATTACAACGCAGGCTCAAATGAAAAGATAAATTAATTGATATAAGTTTGTCGAAGAGTATGTCGAATGCCTTAGTATTATATTAGAACTTACATATATTCTCCAAAATTTTAATTAGACTTTGTCAGCGTGCAAACCGTTATGGGACTGAAGCACAAAGAGCTTCATATGAAGATTGACGTACGGTATGAAATAATCTCTGATTACATTCAGGCACAAAAGGTGGTCTATACATAATGTACATAATTCATTCTAAGGGTTCTCAAAAGGAAACATTTATAAGTTAAAAATTGCGATGTTTTTTCTTATATTGATTTCATACATTTTCTTAGTGCTATTATCAAGAAGAGATTAAGATATAATTTGTTATAGTAATACTAGCGATTCACCCTCGCCTCGCTAGGTTTCGTCACTAGTTAAGTTTTGACGGTTAGTATGAAATACAAATCTTTGAATTACTCGACTTTTCTGTACTATAATATGCATGTATTATACATATAAACTTTCCTTTTGAATCACTCTATCTATTGCTGAAAACTGCATTAAAATCCGTTGAGTCGTTTAAAAGATCTAAGCTAACAGACAGCAGAAGCGACTTCATTTTATACTATGTAAAGATTAATAGAACGATAGCAATACTTAATAATTAATTAAATAGCGAGTTAGATATAGGGCTGGTTCTATACATGTGTGGTAATATACGTGTATTATAACAAGAAAGCAAAGTGACATTTTTTAAATTATTTTTGAGTTTATACTTTCTCGTTACAGTTCTTTTTTATTCCATCTTTGCAAATTAGTATGCATAGGTAAGGAATATGTAATATAATTTAAATTTTTTACAATTTTGTGACTAATAAAGCTATAATAGTAAATTAATTTATTCGTAAAATAAAAGGATACATTTTTTATAATACAATAACAATTATAAAAAGGTTTAGATTATAATCAAACAACTTCTCACCAACAGTTAGTAAAAACTGCTTAGTTCAGGTGTGTTAGGTTTGATATTCTTAGTTAAGAAAATAGATTAGTTTGCTTTACCTGTAATTTATTAAACAATCTTAAATATGGTCAAACTTAAGTTTTGAATAAAATAATTAAGAAGAAAGTCTGTCATAACTATATGTAACTATATGTACTGTAACGTATATATAATTGTATATACTAAATACGTACCTACTACACTACCTACTATACATCTACACATATTACTACTAAAGCACGCTTAAATTTGTTAATTTATAGCATTTATACGATTAATTATTTTGATAGATTATTTTGGGCTTAGTGCTTACACTGATATCAGAAAATCCATTTGGTATAAAAGTAAAAAGAGGTTAAGTTTTTAACGGCGTTTGCCAATATACAAGTCGTAGTGTGAAACGCGCCAGGTAGTTGATCGTAGCTTTGTACTCGTTCGAGTATATTCGTAATTAAGTATAGCTTGTAGCGGACGGCAACTTTATGTTTATTAAAAGATTTTAAATTTACTATAAAAATATAAAATACTCACTAATATTGTTAAAATAACTTAGGCTGAATAAGTAGCAAGTTTACTAACAGCACTGGTTACGTAAATTAAAAAAAATAGTATCAAGATGGTGGTATTTCGACGACTAGAAAACAATGGCGGCTTACTGTGTTTATATTATTATCAAAATATTTATTTTTAAAATTAAGTAAAAAGCAAAGTAAGTTTAGAAAATTATTGTACAGTTTTTGTAAGGTTTTTATATTAATAATATATTCTTATAAGGTTTTACTGTAATATATGAAAATAATCCAAGTTATACTGATATTCGTATAATATTAAGTACTTTGTAACTTATAGTTATAGCTAAGATTCTAGTTAAGTTAATGCAAACGTGCTTCGTAGACGCTTAATTACTGTTTAAATACCCTTGCAGCTACGAATAAATGTCTGAAAAACATACGGTTAATGTTATGTCTGTGAGACTAATTGCATTTATTATTTGCTTAACTTCTCACAAAGTCAAATCTCCTCATACTAAAATATAAATAAGTGAAAAATGTATGAATTAACTAGCGATTGGCCCTCGCTTCGCTCGGGTTCGTCACTAGGTATGTTTTTACGTAATAAAAGTCGTCCTCGATCAACGGGCTATCAAATGCAAAAAGAGTTTTTCAATCGAATTAGTAGTTCATGAGATTAACGCGTTCAAACAAACAAACTCTGTATTTTTATAATATTAAGTATAGATTAAATTTATATTACGTATCAATTTAAAATACATTATAATTATTGCTTTTGATAATCGAAATCACGATTTTGACGACTGCGGCTATCGAAAGTAACGAATAAAAAATCCCTATTAAAGTACCATGTTACTCCTACCTCTAAAGCGTGACGTTTAACTTCACGGCGTCTAGGGTAACAGATCGATAAAGGATTAAAGTGCTCTATATTTGGCGGCTGCCCAAAACGAAGTCAGATGATGTAAATCGTCTTTTTGATGTCCGACTTTGGGTTACTTTGTGTTTAATCGTTCCATCTTATCTCTACTCATCTAATATCTAAAAAGAAATTTTAAATTAAAAACATTTATTAAAAAATCTACTGTTCCGACGTTCATACTTTATATTATCTTTTATAAAAGAAATAATAATTATTAATTAACTTTGATAAATTTAATTTGATTTTTATCTTTTTATCTTTTGTATGATATTTAATATTCAACATTGTTGATTATTTTAAATTTTTAATTACTTGTTCTGCTTTTTAGAAGCATATTATATTATATGAAATGGTGATGGCGTAAAATGTAATTCAGTAGAATATAAAACATACAATATTATAATCTTAAATTTACTTTTGGAATATTAATTTTTTTGCGAAAGATTTCCCAATATAACGAAAGAGACCATTGATAAAGAATTTTGAAAATTCATTCACGAAAAGGGTTTACTATAAAATGGAAGTTGATATGAAAGTTAGAAATATGGAAATTAGTGTTTAACATTTTGTTAATAGTGCCGATGGGAAATCCTAACGGGCTGGTTGCTTGTTTATATAATTCTATTAAGTACAAGGGTATGGGTATGCCGTATAACACAATATAATATATAGTTATATATGGGATTGCTAACAGCTATTATAATTTATGCGAAAATTTGTATGGGTAAGTACCTTAATTACTACATCGCGTTTAAACGACTGGACGGATTTATATGAAATTTAGTACACAGGTAAACCTTTTTTTTTAATGTTGGGAAATGCATTTACGCATACCACCTGTGTAGGCAGTGGTAGTACAATGGTAACGCGCTCGCTTGGGAAACCGAGTGAACCGCGTTCAAATCCCGGGTCTCGCACATCTGATATTTTCATGTGTGAATCATTTCCAACATGATTACCACTAGTCTTAACGGTGAAGGACACTTGCATGTCTGAGAGAACCTAGAAATTTTTCAAAAATACATGTGAAGCCCACCAACCCGAACTTGGCCAGGGTGGTGGACTAGGGTCTGATTCCCCTCGTACTGAAGGGAGGCCCGTGCCCAGCAGTGGGACGGTAAAAAGGGCTGAATATAAATACATACCATCTGAATACAAACAGGTGGTTATGCGGGAATCACCAGCTAGAAAAGCCAGTACTATCCACAAAAACCCAATATTGACCTGGAGTCACATGTGTACTGTTAAACACCCCCACCCAGGGACGCACCCTAGCGAAGCGAGTGTAAGGTGCTAGTAGATTATACTCTTTTAGATTATCTCGTAACAAGCTCAATAATGAAAAAAAATTCAATTCCAATTTAGGTTTCTTACGTAAGTAGGTACGTCTAAACATACAAACGCCATTTATAATAAATATTACTATTAATTTATTAAATGCAAAAAGATACCAGTATCAGCAGTTAGGAAAATATAACAAATATGCTAATGAGTTATACTGTAAATGTTCACAAACTTTTTAATTAGCCACCGTACCTATTTCATTTTCCTTTTCTCTTGCCCCCGGGAAAATATATTTTTAATTCCAGCATCCCATTTCTGTTTTCTCAGTGGCTAGTAATCGGCATCCTACAAGGCTTTCATTTTGTGCAAGTGGTAAACAATCGTTATTAAATTTCCACGGATGTCTTCTCTCATCCCTCATTCCGGTAAATGGAAACCAGAACATGTCTCGAGCAGTAATGGTGTTGTGCGCGGCAAATTTATTGTTCTAACGCACGATATTAAAACTGTTTGGGATATATGGGGGCTATAAATAATATTTGTTTAGTAATAATATTTTAGCCAAAACTTATATGATTAAGAATATGATATAAAGATACTCGTATATTTTATCATTTTCTTAAATTGTACAAGTATATTAAATAACATAAATATGCCTACGGTGTAAGTCAATTGTATTATAAGGCATATTAAGAATTCTTAGTGAAACTTGTGTTAGAGTCAAATAAATGCGATACAGTAGAAAATAAATACGAATATATTCATATATAGCTTTTTATGTTTGTAAACTATTTCGTTGTAAAACAGTAGTGAAAATAAATGTTATTACAGCGCTCTGCGAGGGCGTCCAGTGCTCTTTTGGGGCTCACTGTGTAGCCGGTGAATGTTTGTGTCCGACCGATTGTACGAGCGCGCCACGTGAACCCGTTTGCGGTAGCACCATGCAGACCTACCCTAATGAATGCGAACTACAGAAAGCGGCGTGTAAATTGCCACCACCCGCTAAACTTCATGTCATTTTCTACGGAGACTGCAAAGATAGACTCGCAGTAGTTCCACCGATTGCTATGAGTACGTATCACAAACTTTATTGTTATTGCTAAACTTTCTAACAACTTTGGTTATTAACATTACATCGCACCCTTCTTGAATATAACAAGTTTAAATTACTATTATTCCCAGCGTTCTGTTTTTATAATTAATTAATATGAGTAACTCCACGAAACTTACTCTTTATGGAATATGAACATAAATATTTTGAAAGTAATAATTTTTGATACATGAGTTGAGTTTAAATTAAATTTGTACAAGCTTGAATACTTATATACGAGCACGTCCTTTTTCATATCGCCTTATTCCACGAAGGGTAAAATCTACACGATCGGATCGGAAATATTTACTATCATACCGTCATCAACCCGGTCGTTAGTAATTCCAATAACGTAACCCATCCGATCAATTAACTAACTTTACGCTTTACGCTTGACTAACACGCAAATATTTGGCTCGGTGCGGGCAGCAACCACCGCGATGACCACAACCGAGGGGGATGAAGGTTCTACAGATTTCTTGGGCGCAACTGAAATAGGAACGACGAGTTCGTCAGCATGCCGCGATATTCGCTGCGATTTTGACGCCAGCTGCGAAGTCGGTTACGATGGGTATCCACGGTGCTCGTGCCTTTTCGAATGTCCAGCCGATGATGAATACTTTCCGGTCTGTGCCTCAGACTTTCGACTTTATCCGAGTTTGTGCGCAATGCGGAAGGAAGGCTGTCAGAAACAGTTGGAACTTAGATTAAGACCTTTGGATCTGTGTAAAGGTTAGTCATTTTATTTGCATGAATTTCATAATGCAACCTTTTAATATAGAAGTAATTACTAACACTGCTAACTTATATGCATAACAAAAATAAATGCGTAGTTATTTTGTATAAATTATTATATAGTAGACTGCGTTTCAAATAGGCAATGTATATGATAATTCCCTTTATAGTTAAACAAAAGCTCGAAAACATATTTAAATTAAATGTGCTGAAGTTTATTTCACATATACGAGTATGTCACTTTAATAAATTGTTGTCCTACAAAGCTAACGAAATAGCAATTGTACGGGACAGTTCGTAGAATACAATTATTATATTTCTATTCATATTCATAGTTTAGGAACTACGTTTAGGAAAAAAATATGTAATTTTATATGTTATATTTTCTAACATCAAAAACGTAAACTAAAGACTATTTCATGAGCTTTTACAAATCGAAATGAGTATGATTGAATTGAATACTTAATCGGCATCACAAAATATCTATTAGAATTTGTTTTTCAAAAAAAAAGCTAAAATATATTACGAAAATGTGAAATTGTAATGAAAACTCATCGTTAATGCAGGTATGGAAGTGCGCCCGTGCGGCAATAACAAGGCAATGATAGATCTGTCAACGGGGCTGGAGATTGACTGCGGCAACGGGCCGCACCGGCAGGACTGTCCGCCGGGGACATATTGCCATATCACGCTCGCTGCAGCACGATGTTGCCCCAAGAGTGAGTTTTATGCATTCTGTTATACTTTGTATCTTTTATTTTATTTCTTATTTCTGATATTACCTTCAAAGTCTACATATTTTATGTTTACGAGTAACTTAGATATACATATATTTCTTATCTTATCTCTGTTTTGTATATACCTATTATTATATGTAAAAATCCCACACACATTGGTTGACTGGAAGAGATCTCGTTTAGAGATAAATCCACCTTTATTTCCGTCCTTTTCTACATGTTTTTGCAGACACCTAATTGTTTTCAATTGCGATAAAGAATATAATATTAAGTAGTGGTAGATATTTCGCAAATATTCCACTAACATAAGTATTGGTTTCATATAAAATTTTATTTGTTTCATAAATAGAGCTATAATATCCCAATTTATATGAAAATTACAAATAAAATTACGAAATGCCGCTTTAAGCGTAGCGTAGTATATACATTTTTAATGAAGCACTTTTATTCTATAGAACGAAATACAACTACTTATTTATGAAATGTCGTAGTAAAGATGGTGAAAGTACAAGACGGCTACGAGTAAATTGGATACAATCACGCTAGCTGTTACCGCTTTGAGTCCTTTGTTCCGATCTCGTAAAATGCAATGTGAATAAAATGTAGTGTTTTATAAAGCGTGCAAGAAATTTTATTCACAGCTTTCATATCCTTTTATGCAGATGACACAAAACAAGTAGATGATAAGCGGGGTTCACATTGTTCTGAGAGCGTGTACGGTTGTTGCGCGGATGGCTCGTCCTTTGCAACTGGTCCAAACGAAGAGGGCTGTCCAGTAACGACTTCAACTTGCGGTTGCAATCGATTAGGATCGGTGTCGGACCGATGCGATGACAGCGGTCAGTGCGTTTGTCGGCCGGGCGTGGGCGGCCTTAAGTGCGACAGATGCGAGCCCGGCTACTGGGGACTGCCTAGAATTGGGTCTGGTCACACGGGATGCATACGTAAGTATATTAAGTAAATAAATACTAATTTGTATTGTATGTTTTCGTTTAACAGCAAAAGTGTTAACGTAGCACATTTTTCAAACCGACACGTACGTTTTAATAGTTTGTGCTAAATTTCGATATATATATAAACTACTTTAAATTTGTGATTTACGCAAAAAAATATATATTGTAACAAGACAACAAGAAAGATAATAGCTATGACAGAACTACATATAAATATAAAAGAAAATTATTCAGTGTTTGTTTTCTTTTAAAATAGCTAAATAAATTCAATCAAAGAATACAATCAACAGCTTTGAATTATTTAAAATATCGTAGCGTGCGGTTGTTCGGCATTCGGGTCGGTGCGGGAGGACTGCGAGCAGATGACGGGGCGCTGCGTGTGCCGCGGCGGCGTGCAAGGCCAGAAGTGTACAGTGTGCGCCGACCATCGACGCCGTTTAGGACCTAACGGCTGTTCTGATCGTAAGTACCCGATAATCCAGATATATTGCTTTTTATATTGGAATATCTCTCCTCTATAACCATTTTTTTATTCCTTTTATGTGCTTACTTGGCTTCGTAAAGAATAAAGACGTTATTTTCATTATAATTTATTGCATTATAAAGATATTTAGTCATTCACAGTGAAGTGTAATGGATTTTGGCTATAATCCGGATGTTGATGATATAAAGTCAAAAATAATTGGTTTTATTTATGGTAAGTAGGTAGTTTGAAAATATTTTTTCTTTTTAAATAAATAATAAAGCTCCCAATTAAGGAAAGTGAACACGAAATATATTGAAGCTAATTGGCCTGTATAAAGAAAGAAATGTGAACAAATTCTTCACGTACATATATAATATATATGTACATATGTCTATTTAAGTGGTTGAATAAATAATGATATGATTTTTAGGCAAACTATGTCTATCTATACATATAATAAAATTGTAACTAAGCCGAATCTGTACATTAAATATTTTTTTGAAAATCTTATTGAAATAAGCATTATTATCGATACAGAGGCCGAATCTGAAGATTTTAGAATTTTTGTCTGTCTGTTACCGCGTCACAGAAAACCCACAGGACGAAATTTGATGAAATTTGGTATGATGATAGCTGGTTATCTGGGTCAACATATAGGACTCTCTTTTTACCGCGGGAAAATGTCTCATTTCTGAGAAAAAATACAAAAACTGTAATGTAAGAGTATACTAATATGTAAAACCTAAGAATTTGGGTTTTGGTCATCTGAAAGCGGTCGGAGCCGCGGGCAATGCTAGTATGTAATAAAGTAATAAGCAGAAAGTACATGAAAAAGTAAGAGCTGAACTTTTTCATTTACATTACGTGTTTAACATGCACGTAGATTATGGTGAAACTAAAACGTGTAAAAAAACCACTATCAGAATATTGTTGAACAATATAAAGAGTAAATGATAATGCCGAATGAAATAACTATTGTGCACTGTTCACATGTAAATGAAATTAAATTTATTTGAACACTGGCTAAAAGTAAAATTATTTTACACTAACATGAAAATTGTAACTTGCGTAGCAATTTTCATTACTAGTGAGGCCTTTTATGTAATTTCAAAGCTAATTCTAACACCATACTGCGTATAAAATACTTGAGACATGTTTTCGGATTCAGCTGTCGAGTTATATGAAAGTTCTTACAAAGTAACACTACAGTGCTATAATATTAAATGGAAGATGTAGTATTGTAGTAGACTAAGCATTTTTTTTGTTCACATAATACTTTCTTCGATTTACGTGAATGTTTGACATTATTAAATAAAACTATCTTTTCGGATTATTTCGTTAAAATTTTTTGTTAATTGTGGGTAGGCTGTCTGTAACAACTATACCTTCAAGACATGTAACACCTCAGTCTCTCCCGTGACCATGGATGCTGTAAAGCATTCGAAACGTCGGGAACCAAAAATCAAAATAAATCCGCGAAATAATCCGAAAAGATAGTTTTATTTAATTTTTTTTTTTGTTATTTAAACCGTTATTAGATAGGCTTCCATTTTATTTTGTTGGGCGAGAATAAAACTTGTTACTTTGAGTATTGAAATAGGTTTTACTAACAATGTGCCACACTATTAATATCCATTATACCTATGTTTTTCTTTACTAGCTTACATAATTTTCAAAAGGCATACCAACTTATTCCGGTTTTTGCTTATATTATATAAAGATTAATTATTGTTCTACAATATTTCTTCCGCAATCAGAAGCACGAAAAATATTTTGGTACTCTGTGAGGGAATCGAACCTCTGATATTCATAGCCAATTTGATTCAAGACACTGCGTCAATTTGATCATCAGTCATACAAAAAGAGTAATTTTTAGCTGAAATCAGTGGAGTGGTGGAATCATGCGCAGAGTTGTCGTGCTACTTCGGCGCGGTGTGCACGGACCGTACGGGCGGCGCGCTGTGTGAGTGTGCTGCAGCGCCCTGTCCAGATAGCGACTTAAACATGCTGGTATGTATTTTACCTGTAATATTATCTAAATTATATTAGTCTATATTCTTAATTTTTCCTTACTGTCCAACCGTTTAGAAATAATCTACAAAACAGTGCGTTTTACGTTACGATTAAAGTTCCGTTTTTATAGGCTAACCAATCACAAGCCAAATAAAGAGCTTTACCCTACTCAAAAGTGATTTTGTTTGTACAACCCCAAAAAGATTATAATAGGTACTAAATTAAACTATGTATATTTTATCTCAAAAGCACTAAAAGAATTATTTATATTTGTTGGTATGTAAGAGATAAACTTCAGAGCTATTAAATTGGAACTAAAAATCCCTTTTTCATAGATATCTATACTCATCTAACGAAGAGAAGTATCAACGTACAATGTGAGCAGATCTGTGGACAACAACTAGTATTACATATAAAGATAGTTTCAGATTATATAGATCATAAAGTTTATGTATTATACAATACTTCTACAGTACTACTTCGGATAGTCTGAAATGTAAACGATTTGTATGGAATTGTGTAGTGTATAATATTTCTTATACATTTTATTCAGAATAGGCGACGTGACTTACGAGTATAATCCACTTGAGAGTGATATTTGCGGAATGTATGTGTATTGAAGGCGAACTGTGCTAATATATCGCTATTTGTCGCGTGCACCAATATTGCTTAAATAATCTGAATACTTTGAATACAATAATTTTAGGATATTATAGATATTCTGATGTTATAATGATAAAAAATTTGTTTGTTTGGCTGTCCATCATTTCATAAAAAAATCATTACGAGACTTTCAGAAGCGAAGCAATTACTCTTAAAAATAATAAACGATGCGAGCGGAGCTGTAGGTAAAAGTTAGTTAAAATATAAAATGTCAATAAACTCTCTGTAAAAGGGGACAAATAAAATAAAAATAAAATATAAAGTTAAAATATATTTGTATTTTTATGAATGAATAATTAATAATATTTGGCATCAATATGTAAAAAATATTTTGTTTAACAAATTCTAATAAAATCATAACATTTTAATTATTAAATAGAGCAATGAATGGAATAAAGTAATAAATGTAAATTAAGTTTATTCACGAATAATCCTTAATGTTCACGGATTTGAAATAGTAGCTATTAGTCTAATTTCTTCACCGCTAAATATATGGGTCGTAAGACCTTAATAATGCTTTACCAGTAACATAGCAATATACATTAATGTAGGATGTAATTGGGAGAAAAACATCAATAGCACTAAATCAGACTTAAGCTCGTACTCACCATTAACAAGGCTTACCTAAATATATTATAGTTTTAAGACGTATAAACTAAGAATTTGAAAGGAGGTTCGTTTTAAAAGCAAATTTGAATTAGGCTCATTATACGAAAAGTCCTGATAATAACGCTTATTTAAATCTTGAAGAGCTACAAGTGCTCAGTTTATTGGTCTCTCAGGGAAACTTAAAAGTTGAGTGCATTTACAAACTAAATTCTCTTTAACTTAGCTAACTGCAATAAAAATCAACAGGTATGCGGGAGCGATGGTAAAACTTACGAATCTGAATGCCATCTTAAATTGCAAGCTTGTCGCACCCAGGAAGATATCGTAGTTCAAGCGTTTGGGCCTTGTAAGCTATCAGAAATCGCGGGCACAGTCGGTCCTTTGAGGCCTTCCTCGCCGATACAATTCACCCAACAAGACGACGGCGCAGCGTCTAAATCAACAAGACATTTACTCAATCCAGAAAAATACTACAACAAATATGATTGGACGAGAAAAGAAACGCCCAGTGATTTTGACAGTATTGTGCAAGGGCAAAAATTGAAGGGTGAGTAACTTTGACAAAAGACAATAGGTACTTTCCAAAGCAATTTGGGAATTTCAAAGCCCGCAGTGTTTTAATTATTCCAGCGATTGACGCTGTTAATTGATATTTTCATTATAATATCTAAACTTCTCGAATATTCTACTTGAAGTATAAGCATATTGCTATGTTTGTTTATCTCTTATTTCATATTTATGAATAATTGATATGTAAATTTAAAAACAGTCGTTTATTATTCAATAATGGGTTTTAATAGTACTTTGTTCGCTGCCAAATTTCAACGATAGCGCGGTGGTATAAAGTTTGAAAATTTGAAGTATCTGTAATACTTAATTAACTCTAGACTATCATCCAGCTCTAGTATTTTAGCAACATCTCAATTCATCTTAATCACGTTAATTTCGCAGAGATTACAGTTTGGCTTGTTGTGTGAGCAAGTTTCCCTTGTCACTTTGTGACACTGTTTCTCGTATCCTTAACTTAGTTACCGATTTATCTTACTTATTTGTTGCTCCAAAATAATGATATAGAATTTGTTGTTGCTCAGTAACTTCTAAGGCAGCCTCAATAGTCTTACAAATTACTAGCATGATTATTTATCGTTCTCTGACATTTTTCGATAAAAGAGATGTCAATATTAAAGTGTAGTAAAGATTTACCTTGTTCCTTTTCAAGTAAGATTGACGTAATATCGAACGTATTTTGTTTTATCCAGATTAAGATAAATATCTTATACTCTAACAACACTATATAAATAAAATCATTTTGAATCTGATTTCTATTTGAAAGTAATTAGAAAAGATTTCTTCTTTTCCTAATTTGTTAATGAATAAACCATAGTATTTTCAAATCAAATGACAGGTTCACAAACAGCAACAACAGCGACAGTGGGCGCAGTAGGAGCGTTATTGGGAGACCTTTGTACTGAAGACGGGGATTGTGCAGCTTTGCCCGGCGCTTTCTGTGCTCGAGGAGGCTGTGTGTGCCGCCCTGGGTACATCCCCACAACTCACAGAAAAGCGTGTGTTGGTAAGTATTTTTAACTATATAACCATCACCTTTAAAAAAATCTTTTGAAGTTTAAAAGATACTTGACATTCTTAGCAGATATTACCGCCTTTCTGAAAGTTTTTTCAAATAACTTTAACATTTTTCCTTTTGTGAGATTCTAAATAAACAAAATCTTATTTTATACAGATATGTTATATTTTATTTAAAAATAAATTATAAATATGGTGTCAATAAGAGAAAATCTTTATTCAATTTTTTTATTGTGATGCCATTGCAAGCCCGCCTTTGTTATTTGTCATAATAAGTCATTATCGTTAAATGACAGTGGTAAAGGGTATCTGTCAAAGCGCTTTGCTTCGGGGCCGTAAACATTAGGTTCGTGGTTTTTAATTTATTTCAAAAGTTCATCTTGCTCCATTCCTACCAGGCATTGCGTCTTTATTTATAGTTTACTATAAATGTGAAATGTGTTTAAAAATGTGTTAGAAAATACCCTCTCTCTACATATTTTTCTATAGTATAATGTGAAAGTGTGTTTGTTCGTTTGTTTGTCTTTCTTTCACTTCGAAACGCAGTGACAGATTGACATGGTTTTTGTGTGAAGATAGATGGAAGGTTGGAGAGTGACATAGGCTACTTTTTTCCGTGGCAGATTATATCGATCCCACGGGAAAACACGTTATAATACATACCAAAAATTATTTATGATCAGAATTACTATATATATACCTATAACGAATAACGAAGTTTAATGGCAATAGGTAAAAGTAATTAATTATAAACTTTATTAGTGTTACTATCTCGTTTATTACGTAGGGGAATGAGGGGGGAAACCGGATAGGGGGTGAAAACAGATAGTTCCTATTTCATTGCTTCACGTACAGCTGACTCATTCTAGCTAGTGGAGAAATACGCGCAAACGTTTACTCAGTGCGGTTGCAATTGGCGGCGACGGTATCATCTCGGCGCGTGCGTCTTTATAACGAAATTTAAAAACAAGGGTAAGTTATCTATATATTTAATTTTTTTTAAAGTTTTATCATTAAATTTAGATGTGTGCTATCATATACAGTTGCATTTTTTAAGAAGTAATACATATTTAACCTTTTAAAACGGTATTGGTTTTTGCTGTGAGTGTAAACATAACCTGTTAGTTATTACAATTTCAAACATGGTACTTGTGGGGTACAAGCGGACGGGGTGATTTCGACTACCCGGGTTCACCCCGATTGATTTTATATGTAGGTATTGTGGGTGTTTATTTTATACCTCTCTTTAATTACTATTTATTTTTTTATTTTTCACAGAGTGCAAGCGACAACATGCCACGAACATATGTGAAAAATCAAATAAATTGCAATGGTCGGAATCAGACATGCTTTTAGCCATAAATTCGGTGATAGAAGGTAGAATGGGATATCTTTTAGCGTTACTTACATAAAGTGTATCAAAAGTTCGTTAGAAGATCGTGTAAGAGATCAAGTGTGAAAAATCCAAAGACGAAGTGTTTAGAAAGTTCCCCGTTTTCACTGATGAGCTGGAAAGTATGCTAGTCGATCATATCAAAACTATGGAATCTCTACTATTTGAATTGACTATAACAGATCATTCAAACTAGCTTAAATTCCAATTAGCTGAAAGAAATAATTTAAACCATCCTTTTAATAGAGAAACTGAACTGGCTGGCTTAGATTGGGTTAGTGGATTTCTAAAACGACAAACTGAATTATTATTAAGATCACCTGAAGCAACGTCAGCTGCAAGAGCAATGGGCTTTAATAGATCTGTAGTTTAATCATTTTTTAATGTTTTAGTTACCCTTTATGCTAAGCACGCTTTCAATCCCACGGAAATTTTGAAAATGATTGACCTCTGTACCACAATACAAACCCGACTTCCAGGCACTAAAATGTAAAAAATAACAAAACGGGGATTTTCATTAAGAATAGACCTAATCAGATATTTTCGAATCGGTAAAAAGACGAGTAAAACTATCAGGAAGATTCGGAGTCTTTGGTTTGAGGCGGAACGTAAATAAGTCCACAAATGAATGGTACCAACGCACTGCTTAACTTAAATGGGCTCACGAAAGTTGCATCGGTTGTTCTGAGCAAGAATTATTATTTTTTGTATGCAAAAACTGCGAATAATTTGAATATTTAGTTTTATTATTAGGATCTGTATTCGTCCCTAGAATATAAAATACCTATCCGGTTTGACCCATAGGTATGGGGTGAATTCGGATTCATAATTTTTAATTAAAATTGTTCTATTTTGTAGTTATTAAGATTGATCTCAAACATTTTCATACCAAAGTTATGCCTAAGGTATACTTAAACGTTTATAATATTGATTATCTCAATAAATAACATAGTGATTTATTTATTGTGTCTTCTTCTTAACTATCCGGTGTCCCCCCACCTTCCCCTACATATTTCTATGTGGTACAATATAACAATATAAGCCTCGAGACTTATTACGCTATTGCGACTTGTTTTTTATTTGTCACCATTTCATTTATTTTATACCGTTTTTTTTTAATTAAATATTCACAGCTATTATAAATAAACTCTTCATACTTATGGATAATGCGTTTAAACATAATCATCAATTCATATAATCATTCTCAATACATATATTTATATATTTAATCCAAATTACAAATAGACCTTCTAGCTACGAGCAAATTATATTTAAACTCCGGTAAACCACAAGAAAATCAATAAAAAAAACATCAAAATGTTTGCTTAATAGCGAAAATATTTGCTGCGTATACAAAACATTGCATTGATATCACAACAAATATGCAGAGATATCACAACAAATAAATCTTCCAAAATAAAAAAAGGCTTTAAAATAGAAACAAAATATTCATCTTATGAGAAATTCTTATCACATTGTTGCAGAACAAATAACTCAGGAAACAACGGAGGAATATAGTGCATGTTTATCTGAGCCCTGCTACAATCTCGGCAGCTGCATCGACTTGCCGGCCTCCACGTACGCGTGCGTGTGTCCCGAACCCTACACCGGCTTCAACTGCGAATTTCATATCAAAGACGCTCAGCCATCTAGTTACATCGAAACTCCATCCTTTGACGGATCTTCCTACATACGCCTAAAACCACTAAAGGCTTACCATAAGTTGAACATCGATATTGAATTTAAGGCATTTTCTGAAAATGGGGTCATACTGTACAATCAGCAGAAACCCGACGGAACGGGTGATTTTGTTTCTCTCGCGTTGGTGAACGGATATTTGGAGTTCAGGTAAGTTTTATTCTTATTTCATATTTCGATTTCGGGTCGGAACTGCGGCTTGGAAAGTATTCTGAACAAATATTATCTCTTTAGAGTTTTATATAGAGTATATCAAATTTAACGTATCCTATCTGAAATCAAATTCAAATATAATACGGATATTGCCAATTTTTCTATCTTCCGCCATCTCTATAATACAGACGTTCATAACTTTTTGTTAGGTACAATCTTGGAAATGGTGTAATAATTCTTACGTCGCTTGAAAAAATAACGTTGAACGAATATCATAAAGTATCAGCGAAACGATATCACCGAGATGGAATTCTCTCAGTCGATAATATGGAAGACGTCGCCGGACAATCCGCTGGTAATTTAAAAGCGTTAGATCTTGCTGAAGATGCGTATATTGGGAGCGTGCCTACGAATTATTCAAGGTACTGTACATCTATTGTATTGTATAAATTCTAAATATCAAGCTTACATCTCGTTAAAATATTCAGAATGCGAAACATCTGGTAACTGGAAAAGTTTTCAAAATACTCTGGAGATTGCGGGATATAATTTCGTTTTATTCAGTGTGTAATCTATTTATCGCATATATTATACGAATATAAAATGTTAAAGTTTGTTTATGTATTATGAACATTGTTGTTATAAGGGTGTTCGACAATATCGGGACTCGGAGTGGTTTCGTCGGGTGCGTGAAGTACTTCAGGATAATACGTCATCAAGTCACAAAGAAATTGGGTCGTCCGGATTCATTAGTCGTATCCATAGAGAACGTTCGAGAGTGCCAATCTAATCCGTGTATGAGTATGCCCTGTAAGAACGGCGCTACGTGTAAATCAGACTCGGATACAGAATATATATGTAGGTGTCCGATAGGATTTCAAGGAGCCAATTGTGAGGAGAGATTAGATCCGTGTGAATCGAATCCCTGCGGATATGATGAGGGGCTATTGTGCGACATCGGGGCGGACGGCGGACACGTCTGTCGATGTTTGTTCGGCGATACTGATTCTAATGGGAACACGTGCAACAATGGTAATTAAAATCTGAGCATTTTTAACATTTTATATAGTTATTTAAGCTTTTACAGAATCATTACAGAGCTATACTACTGTTGTACCTATAACTTTAAAATGTGCAAATTACAGAACTATTTCTTTTAACTTGTATATTGAAAATATACGATTATCTATGTTATTTTAGATGTTAACGTTGTACAAGAAACTTTGACACCTCAATTCAATGGGACAAGTTATATTGAGTTACCGCCGCTCGAAGGGCTTGGAAAGGCATTCAGGATCGAAATTTGGTTTTTAACGAACCGATTTTCTGGAATGCTTCTTTATACCGGCCAGTCCAATAAAGCCAAGGGGGATTTTATAGCGATTAACTTAGTTAATGGATATCTACAGTTTAGGTACAATTTGGGGAGCGGAATCGCCAATATCACGTAAGTAAGGCTTAGAGGCCGAAGAATTCATTTAACGAATTAAGTCAATCTACGCTTAGTTTCACAGGCAATTATTTACTCTACCGATGCAAATAGAATCTCTGCCAAGTTTAGATGAAAATTAATAGTTTAACAGCTTGATGAGTAACGGCTAAATAATAATTTCACCGAGGAAGCTATTAGTGCCTTTGCTCAGTAGACTGAGATGTATTCAAATTATTGTATACATACTCGTATTTAAGCAAACAACGTCAAGATACAAAGGCACATTCCTTATAGTGTTTGCTCACAACTTTCGTGATGAACTTGTTAATTATATATGTATTGATTTAAAACATTTACCAACTAAATAACTGTTCATTTTATAACTATCGCGTAAATTTTATTTGAAATACAGTATAATATATATTTTAAATTTCTTTCGTTTTTTATTTATTTCTGGATTTTCATATAGTAAACGAATGTTTCAAAATAAATAACAAATTATATATTGGTTTATAAAATTTTCAAACAATTAAAAATTATAGTTATCTTCAACAATGAAGGTAATCCATGCTAATATATTATAAATGCGAAAGTAACTCTGTCTGTCTATTACCTTTTCACGCTTAATCCGCTGAACCGATTTAGACGAAATTCGGTATGGAGATAGTTTGAGATCCTGGGAAGGACATAGGATAGTTTTTACCCCGGATATCATCCCTTAAGGGGGTAAAAAGGGGGGGAGGTGGAACTTTTTATGGGGAATCAATCATTTCTCAAGTAAGGGATATAAAACTCATCATACCTATGTATAATGTCTATGTATTCCATACATAACAGTCATAAGGTATCTAGGGACGAAATTCGCTAGTAATTCATAAAAATTATTTTAATTTTACTATTGATTGATACTTTCTATTATTACTTTCGATAGGTCCCCTGTGTCAATAACAAAAGGTAGATGGCATAGGGTTAGAGCCACTCGTATCGGGAGACACGGAAGTTTACAATTTGATCATCATCCTACGCAAAGGGGCGCCTCCGCTCCACCGCTCACTCATCTTGAACTCACTTTACCACTTTTTATTGGATCCTTACCGTAAGTACTGAAAAGTTGAGTGGCTACTTTGCTTAATAACCGCAATAAATATTATTTATAACTTAATATAAAATAAGCTGTGCTAAAATATTTACAGAGCAAACATTTATTTTTGATGATTTTAATGGCGAATGATTGGCATTCCTGCAGTGCTATTCCGTAAGAAATTTTATGTAGCTCTACAACTAAATTCGCGATCTTACTCCATCTAAGTAATATGAAGTATTTTCGCGGATTCAGCCTTACTGATTGTACCTTACGCTTAAACCCTGCATATCTTTTATGCTACAATAGGCAAAAAACTTGCGTACATGCTAAGTACATATTATAATATTTATTACAGTTGATGATATAAATGAGTGAAAATACAAAAATATAATCATAATATTCAAATAAATTTAGCTAGCCCTCCTATTTTATTCAGAATAGTAAACATTTATACAATAATTCTATAACCAAACAATCCCATCAATTTGACTTCACGTACATTTTCATACATTACTCATTGTAAATTTTCATATTTTGGTCAAATACGTAGTGCCACGAAGCGCAATTTGTCATATGAGAATGAATATGAAATATTTTGTGCGAGAAAACTCATTTTGTTTTTAGTTCTCGCTTCACTGACATTCAATTTACGGTTATAATTTGGCGCACGAACAATTTATTTTTTGTAACGCACTGAAAAAATTGTGACTGACATATTGAATTGATTGCGGGTGTTACCCATAAAACAATATAAGAAACGGCTATAATATACGTGTATATGTGTTATAATAAGTCATTTTGAAGTAAACTCCTTTAGGGGTGACTGAGGGGTAAGTCGATACATTGGACAATCGAGTGTAGCGGAAGTTATTATTCTGAATAATTTAAAAAAAAAATCATATTTAAATTTTGATTTGTTTTAGTTTAATTGCGGAATCTGCCACAGTGCCAAAGAAGTTTTACTTCAACCACGCGTAACTTTACACGGATTGATTTTTTTTAGTGCTTTCGTCCGTCCTCACAAAATGTCGGGGGTGACGAGCAGTTTCATAGGCGCCATGCAACAGGTTTTCGTGAACGGCATTCCCCTGTCTATGTACAGTGGGGATGTAGCGAAGTGCTCCGTAGTGGCGGAGGAAGATAGACTGCCGTGCGCCACCAGCGGGGTCACTAAGTACGCCGGACCGCCTTGCGGAGACGGTAAGTGTATGAGTAATGTACGCTGCCAGAGATTCACTTGATTGCTATTCACTTTATGCTCCTTGCTGTATTTCATGAATTTAAATTATTCAGATTAATTTTATGTTTAAGCTGTGTAAGGTTCATGATACGTTTAAATTATGACTGTAACTTATCTAAATCCAGCACTGCGTTCTTTGAGAAGATTAACTCTTCAAGTATAATAGAATTTGCACTAGAATAATCCTTCTCAAATCGATTTTATTGAGCGCAGTGACTCTGAAGCTGTTACGAAGCTCTAAACTAAACCACTTAGCTGAACGGACAACTCACTCGTATATTACTTTAAAACTCGTAAAATCGTTTGATTTTAAAGTAATATTGCATTATTGGTTATTACCTTGAATTATTTAAATATACTACGCTTTTTAATATTTGTAAATCTGAATTCGAACGCTTTAGCAATATACTTATGTCATATATTATTTCACAGAAAACTGTATAAATTATACATACATACAATATTTTTGTTGAAATGCTAAAAAACGTTTTAAAAAGGAAAATAGTTAGAATTTTAATTGTATTAAGTGTCTCAAAGATATTAATAATTGATAACCGTTGAATATAATACTCTAATAATATACCGTTACAATTGAGCTATTATTAGGAGCATTGTAGTCGGCAATATTCTTATCATTATTTCACAATGAAATCCATCAACAAAATTAACAATTGGTAATTTCTACTGCTATTGTGTATATTTTAGATACATTGATATCTATACATATAATAAAATTGTAACTAAGTCGAATCTGTATATTAAATATTTTTTGGAAAATCTAATTGAAATAGACATTATTATTGATACAGAGTCCGAATCTATAGTTTTTAGAATTTTTGTCTTTCTGACTGTCTGTTACCGCATCACGGAAAGACCACTGGAGGGATTTTGGTGAAATTCGGTATGGTGACAGCTGGTTATCCGGGTCAATATATAGGATACTTTTTATCGCGGGAAAATATCTCAATTCTGAGAAAAAATACAAAAACTGCAATGTTAGAGTATACTAATATGTTAAACCTAAGAACTTAGTTTTTGGTCATCTGAACGCGGGCGGAGCCGCGGGCAATGCTAATAAAATATAAGTTAATTATTAGCTTTTATACACTTATATTTAGAGGTAAAATCATAAAGATAAGCGAAAGGCAAGTTAAATATCACACGTTTGAATTCATTACATTCACTGTTAATTTATTATCCAACCAGGTCTCACCCCTTGCAAAAACAATGGCACATGCATACCACTTTTGAACGAATACAAATGTATATGCCCGGATGGGTACCAAGGGAGGAACTGCGAGGTGCAATTAAAAGTAGAGATGTTAAACGATGGAGCGCCCATTAAGTTCGACGGAAATAATTATTACTCGTACAGGAGTCGAGGCGGCCGCAGGTAAGTTGGAAACGAGTTAATATTCATCGCACCAATAAAAACCCTCCAATTTCTATTAAATCAATCGACAACATTATAATAACAACAATTTGTAGCTACTACAATATCAATTCATTAGTTAAATTAACATTAATTTATCATATTCAATACGTTTGATTCGTGTCGTCAATAAAGTTAATGAATATGATGCCGCAGAGTAACAAAGTAATTGTAGCAGAAAAATATCATTTAAATCAATGGATAATTTGATTGTTACATACCATTAAGGTCGCTTTCATTTTCGTGCGGTTCGTCGCATCGCAAATGGTTTTACATTGTTTACTATAATAACGTTATCAATTTTATCCACACTGATTGTGTGTTGATACGCTGCAGTCAATTTCGCGATTGATGATGATCTATATGAAGTTTTTGAAGCGATAATATAAATAAATATTTCGCAGTTAAATATAATTATCATTTAAAGTTCTTCTTTTTTTTTATTGTATTGGAAAACTAGTTTGATGTAATTTTGCGCCAAAGCATTGTCTTTATAATATTCAGGAATCAAATCCCATGATCTTAGGCTTAGAAGGCAGTACCAGTAAGAGTCGTACAATAAAAAAACCTGTATGGTTTCTATACTAATCTTTTTCTTAAATCTATAATATCTTCTTTAGTATAAATGAGTAGTATTAATTTGACTAACTAAAATTCTTTTTTTTAGCTTTCAAACTAACATTGAAGGTGAAGGACATTATGATGTAAGATAGCATTTGAAGGATGCTCTCAGTAACCCATTTAGATATAAGTTTTAATGAATCTATCTACAGTTTAATATAGATTAGGTAATTTTATTCTACTTGATAACTTTAATATCATGCATCTCGTTAACTAAATTGAGTTTTTGATTACATAACACTAACTTATAGCAATCGAACTACTAATTTAATATTCACTTTATACCATTTAATGTTGCTAATATACTGTACCTACACCGCACTAAACTAGCTAATTTTCTCATATCTCTTCTTTTCTGGGTTTCTGAAAGAAATCTCTTAAAAGGATAAGTTATCTTTATCCAAATTCTGTTTCTTTATTTTGTAAAACAGTATATTATATAAATAAATAATATAAATGCGAAAGTTTGTATGTACATATTTGTTACTACCTCATATTGGCTATTCGTATACAAAGCTGGTATCCAAATGGATAGATCGATTTGAATGAAATTTAGCATACAGACAGACTATGATGACCTGGAGTAGCACATAGACTACTAATAAGCACCTAGATATGGGCAAAGTAGCTGTAGTTTATGATTAATGATAACCATATGACAAGCATTTCTAGCCACTGAATTGTATTATACATTCGGAGCTTATTCCAGTAGTGGGACTTCATTAGCCTTTGTAAATTGAGTTGAATCTATCAGATCACGCCAAAGTGCTCGTACGTGACTTGCTTCCATTCGATGGAATATGCGAAACTCGTAACGTCCTTTCAATGACATCAACTTGTGTCAAACTGTTGTTCGCTGAACTAACTTAATTCATTAAAGCCATCTTTTGGTATTTAACTTAAGTATTATATGAAGGGATATAAGCGTTACGGCATTTCACTTACGCTCTCTTAGCGTTTATATTTCAAATAATTACCATTTAACCTTTGATATTTATTTTTGACAATTTTAAGTGTTAACAGTCGTTGAGGACTGAAATAAAAAAAAACAAGCCATTTTTTCATATTTCCCCCTTCTCCCCTAAATTTAGAGTAGCAGATTCAAATATTCCGTTTCGGAATGTACCGTTTAGTTAAGTGGCGCGTACATTATTGACGAAGTGGTCGGAGCGTAACACAAAATCCGTTCGGATGTTTTCATGCATTTTATATGATGCGGTCCGTTCCGTCCACTCGATAATAATATAATCCGCGCGAGCATTCGCGTGAAAATGAATTGCACGCATTATTGCCGGGCATTGTAGCTAAAGCTGCATAATAGACGATATTGAAATTAATTTTTATTTTTACCACACAGTCTATTGTTGAACGTTTTGATTTTAATTTTTTAATTTTACAAGTTGTAGAGTAAAATATTTTATATTATTTACCATAAGCTCAGCAATAGTAACAGTCTTTATCCAAATTGATATTAAAAAGCCTTTTTTACGGCTAACAATAAAATATAACTTGGGTAATATCTTACTTTTGCATTTATTCCAGTATATATTATCATATATTAGGTACATAACACCCTTGTTAAATATTCCTACATCAGCTACCGAGTGTTGAAATCGCAGCGGGCGCTATAATAAAAGTTAGATATTTGCATACAAGCATAAATTCAAAACACTGCTTTCCATTACACATGCTGCATCCATTATGTATTTCGATATAGCTAATTATTTACATAGAGATGTTTCGTTAATAGCTTAAAATAGTGGAAGAAGAATAAATCTAATAATTTATTAGCACTTTTATATTATTTATAGTCGCCATCCATTTCATATTGCCATTGAATTTGTGTTAAAAAATATCGCTTTGATGTTTTATGTACATATTATGCGGTATAGGCTCTTTAGGATATATTTTTATATTTATTAGAAACAAGAATTTCTATTTACTCACGTATAAAAGCTTTTTGTCATTCTTTATAGAGAGCTAACTAAAATAACTCAGTGAGCTTTTTATGTGTTTTAGTTTCAATCATACTTTTTATCGACATTTTCAATACCTATAATAATAAGACACACTTAAATAATTTTAAATGGCCAAATTTGCTCCAATTGAAAAATTTTTTAGGAATCGCAATCTTCGAGGTATTAGATACGAGATAAAGTTCCGAACTCATAACGGCTCCGGCCTCTTGATGTGGAGACGGAAAATTGGAATACGACGAGATTTTATTGGACTAGGACTCAGTAATGGAAAATTGCAATTGATATACAGTGACACAGATTCAAAGGAAACATCTAGTGAGTGGTTCCAAAGTGTTGAGTCTAAAGAGCGGGTGGATGACGGACTTTGGCACACGGCGGTAGTGAGAAGACGCAAAAGACTGGCGATGTTGCAAGTGGACGATCTCCCCCCTGTTAGAGGCTACTCGCAATCCCTGCTCGTTCCCTCGAAAGCCAACCCTAAGTTATGGATAGGTAAGTTCAATTTCCTTTGCACACTTTAAAATATGCACCGCCGAGAATGGGTCAAGTAGATATAGCTTTACATTAATTAAAAAATAGTACTCCAATTTTTTAATTATTCATATTTTTATTTAACAATTATAATTTAGTGAAATGGGTCGCTTTTGGATTTAGGTGATTCTGTTATTGTTTTTCAAAGGTTTTGTACGTAAATACGGAGTGTAATTTAATCACCCAGTATATAAGTATTTTATTTAAAAATGATAGTGACAATTAAGAAATAAAATAATCATAGGTAAATAATATATGTATACTTTTAAGCCTTATATTTTCTGCGAATATTTAGTCATTTCCAATTTTTAACCAGAGCAGTAATCGAACCCAAAACTTTTGCTTAGAAATCTTTCAACCCAGACGTCAAACTTATGAAAAGTAATTACTGTTTAATCAGAAAAACAAACCGAGCACGGCTGAAAAAATACACCCAGATACAAAGGAAAATTGCGTAACAAGTACAAAATGTGCCAATCGTAGTCTTAAGCTGACGCAAAAATCCTATTTCAGACGTTTTCCTCAACATTCTGTTTTATGAAGTGAATTAATTTGACGTTTCATGATAGGAGGATCACCGTCCCTGCCGTCGGGGCTGCCGGCCGCGCTCTACAGCGGCCTGCGCGGGTGTGTCGCCGCCCTGAAGGCCGGCGGCCGACACGTCGATGTTAAAACACCCATTCGACCCACCATCCCGGTACGATATTGCGATTAATTACCATCGAGCAATGTTTACGACTAATAATGGACTTTTTTATAATAAATAATTTAAAGAAATCGCTTAAACAAATAATTATTGTAAATTATTAACTAATTATCGTAAATTTGAATATGAATAATTATTTGCGATTTTCGTGATTGGTGAAACACAATTCTGATTATAAATGTGTTGAGATTATCGATAAATGTTTGTGTAGTACAAGAAGGCGCTTTGAACGGATTGCCATCACTACACTCTATTGTAATTTAAGTCGATATTAAAATATGAAACAATAATTGGCACACAAGCCATTTAAAATCGTGACATAAACGTCATAATATTATAACTGAAATGTCAGACGTGAATGAAATTGAGAATTTAGTAAATTGTCATATCACCTTCATATCTTTGAAATGTGAAAGTATTATTTTTTGTGTATAATTAATTAGTATTAGAGTACCTGGTAGCTAATATTAATCGTATGTCTTTATGGTAGCGATGTGTCTGATGGGATGTTACATAAATGTATTCATTAACTTACGTTTTTCAACCGACTTCTTCAAAAAGGAGGAGGTTCTCCATTCAACCGTATATATATATATATATATATATATATATATATATATACATTATATACTATATATATATATATATATATATATATCTTTAATAATATTCAGTTCGGATCCAATAATGAACGTACTAATAATGACTCAATATAATTAAAAAAGAGCGTTTGTTTACGACATTTATCAAATTGCCAGTAATTATATTGTATGTATATCAAGTAATTAATAAAATAAAATAACCTTGGCATCTGACATATATGTACGAGTATATTCCGTTACTCTATTAAAAACCTTTCAACGAAATAGAAATAAAATATGTAAATGAAATAACAACAATGGGTTTGAAGTTAAGCTTAATAATCATACATAAAGAAAACAATAATACTTTCTTAGATTCACACGAATATTTGATATTTTAAATAAAACAATCTTTTCGGATTTTTTCGCGAATTTATTTCGATTTTTGGTTTCCGACGTTTCGAATGCTTTACAGCATTCATGGTCACGGTAGAGGCTTAGTCTCTATGACTCATCCAAAATCCGAAAAGATAGTTTTATTTAAAATAAAGAAAACAAATCCATATTCAAAATTGTGTTAGTTAATCTAAAATCTAGTCCTCATTATGCACCGAAAACCGTATACTGGAGGCGTTTTTCACCCCAACAAAACATGTCGCTACAAAACAGACTTTGCCACCGTAAAGAATGTACCGATACATATCTACTCGTATTCGTTGAATTCTTTTGTTTCTTTTAATTGATACGATGTTTTTTACATCTCTTATTATAGACGGTATATCATTCACATATATAACCAAAAGATAATGTTGCCATAATAATTTATATTTATAGTTTAAGATATAATAGGTTTAAATAAATATCTTCAATCGGTGCTCGGTTTACACATCAGAGGTTTATCATATCGATAACAAAGTACGTAAGTACTGAAAAATTATAATGTGTTGTTACAAAATTGTATTTAATAGTAGTTCGATCGACGACGGGTCATAATCTATGTATGTGCGTCTGAAATAAATATGAGTGGAGAATTATTATTAGAAAGGGTATTCAAAGTAAGAAAATTAATGTTAAATGGGCTTTAATAATAACATTCCATATTATAAGTATAACGCTTTCAATACTTATTTGCTAAAGCGTCACCAATATTAGATAGAGGCAGCTCAGTCAGTAGCTGTTGTATTATACGGTGTTTTTTAGATTTTCGAAACTACCCTCATGTTTATAATTTAGCAATTCCAGTGTTATCATTCCATGTTAAGTAAGATTACGTATAATTAAAATAAATATACTTTAAACAGTGCCATAGTTGTACAGTAGACGATTTTATTAGATTATAGGTCTAGCATAATGCAACTGCTTACTAATTTTAAATCTTTTAATATTATTTCTGTTAATTCTGCTTTTGTAACTAATCATTTATACATTTTTTTTTTGGATTTTTTTAATGAAAATGAATCACTGCCACACATTTTTTTATACATAGCTTCTATTATGTTGGAAACAATCTGACACAAAGAACGCTTTATCAATCTCATTCAATTTAAGTTTTTTTTTTAATTCAGGAAGTTTGTAAGTCGTATAAAGTGTTTAGACAAATTCTTGGAAATATAAAGGGTCTAGACAAACTACAAAACAGTTTAACACTATGTTTTAATGCAGATTAGCAACATTACAGTCACGCAACACTACAACCGTGCGATAGGAATCACCTTACGTTTTAGTACTTTTTAATAGCTATTTCGATTCATGGGGTGATTGCACGTGACAAAACTTACTTCGCTAGAGACCACGTACATAGTTGTTCTATTTATATAACACATTTATGTTTATCTATTCTATTTTACATGAAAGTTTCCCTATTTAATAAATATATATTGGTTTGTATATAAAACTGCATGGCAAGTCATACATAATATTATATTTATGTAGCCTTATAAATGCTCCTGTAGACAATGTGTCAGTTCATTTGTTGCGTTTTTATTAAATTATTTACTTAAATTTCTTTAAAAAAGATACTAAAATATCTACAAAAAATTTATATTTGTTATTTGATTCTTAGGCCCCAAATCTGATGAAATCAATTTAATCCATGACTGATTTAGCGACAACGACAAATGACAGTTTTATCATAATTTTTTAGCCAATTCTTTTGTAGTTTATTAGAAAGTATCGTTTAATTTATGTACATTATCTCTATGTTAATTTTTTCTTCAAAGTTTTTATCAATCCAATCATAAAATCGAGCTTTCGTTTTGTGTTTCTGACTGAATGTTGTAATGACATTTTAATTTTTTACTTATGAAATTTATATACCCAATATTACCCATTTAATTTACTATTTGGGACAAAATAATTTATTTGCAGTATTAAATATATTTTTCACACAAATCAGCACATTTCTCTTTATAGCCATCAAACATTTGTGTCATAATACCTATATTATCTGTTGCATACAAATCTGTTCCAGATATTTATAACGTTTTGTAATATATGTAAATAGTTATAGACTAGATTTTTTTACAAGATGCTTACTGAATGTCGAATCGTCATCTCTCTAAAATTCACCAAGATTATGATTTTGAGAACCGTATGCCGTAGGAAGTTTGGAAAATTTTATTTAAGTCCAGGGTTGCGACAGCGAATTTATAATTATCTTTGTATTGTAGTCATTGAAAAGATCCATTGATTCGATATGCTCTCGAATTATTTCTCATAAAGTATTTTAAACACAAAATAGTAAAATTTTTAATGTATGTATGTTTTTAATTGCTTTTATATCTACATCTTTTCTACTCTAACTATATACATGTAAAATATAATACGTAATTGCTAATTTAAAGTAAACAATGACAATATTAAAATACTACGCAGCGTTTAGTGTTAATTTTATAACGTGGTAGTGCTTCATGGAACGTAACCGTTTCTATACTAGATTTAGGTTAAGATTTCTGCCGTTGATTCGAGTTACATATACATCGGACGATGGGGAAATTACCTTCATACTATTCATAGAGCTAAAACGTATTTAGAAAGTGAGTTCTTCAGATTTTTTTGCCATTTTATACATTTTTTGAAGCTGGAAGGAAGTCTATCCGTCGAATTCAAGAATTCGTCGTCTTTAATGTACTCAATATTTCCTAAATGCCTCTTTGTTCTACGAAAAGTATGACTTATAAAAATATTTGCCTACTTATTGTATACAGAAATTATCAACACCTAAATCAAACCAATACCTATTATTCCGATTTGGCGCAAAGTGTGCTCATATAGAACTTTATTTATCCTTAAATATACTTTGTAAAGCATTGTTGAATCGAAATAGCCTATTACAGATCTCAATTGTTAACAAGATTACACGTAAATTTGAACTGTATATGCTAAAAGATAAAGTTCAATATCGGTACACTATTCGCTTTATTGTTTCAATGCTTTAGTTTAGATGGTTTGAAGTAGGTTTTGTGGTATTATTCGTCCGAAAACTCGGATGAGTGCAACAATAACGACCTGTAGTGGAGTTGTATCTCAGATTCTTAATAGAGGTGAACGTTTAGGAATGATTGACATATTTACGAAAATATACTTTGATTTATTTCTATCGACTGTTTGTTTGTTCTACTTAATAGGTACTTACTTGGATACCAATTATATAGCAATAAAATCCCATAATGGTTGAAAACCTGTAATTTGATGATATAACTAATATATCTATGTATAATGGTTATAATATTTGAACGAAGCATTTCATTTCAGTTTAACTATTAATTATTCATAATCGCCCACCTCTAAGTTCTAAAAATATCTTCCGATCTAATTTATTACGCATGTGTGTTTTGATGTACCTATATTAGTTAAATACAAATGATAAATTAAATGAGACTGCAGATATGTGGTTGTTTTATTTAAAGACTTTGAATAAATAAGGTTCTACCTTTTAGTATCTAGAAATGGATATGGTATGTTATCTCACTAGGATAACTGTTCACATCTTACTTCATCATGGCATCGGATATTCAGAATTTTATGATAATAACTTTACAAGTACATAAATTTCATATATCTATATTGAATTCCTGCTTTTATTATTAACTTTTCGATTAAATTTTTATTATATTTACTATACAAGGTTCGTTTAAGTGATACTTAGCTACGTCGATAAACATAGCATGGTGTTGTGTTCCTCAAAAATTCTTTACTAATATGTCTTTTTAGATTCGTTTCAGTAATTACTGTTATCCCTAACTCTGAATAGAAATATTTCTTTGATATAATGTAAATATATTTAAAAAAAATAAGAGCTGAATAAATAAAAAATTTTGACTGTTAGATAACCACAAAAAATAACACAACGAAAGATAAGAAAGCTGTATAGTTAATTAGTATGCATATTGAGTTTCCGCTTTTCACCCCCTTTGCGACTTATCA